TTCAACAAATCTAATTTTAAGCGCAAAAACTGTTTCTTAACGAACAGCCCAAACGACACGTCATTGACTAATAACAAAATAAAATATAAATTAAAAGAACATCGAGTAACAACGACTAAAGCTATGGTTTCCTAGAAAAGCGGTGCCGTTATCTAGCGGCCGTAATATAGCGTTGGGTGACGTCACTCATACGTTTTCTATAAATAACATCGGAGTAGGTTTCCTAGAGTACGTTGAGTGTCACCGTAACGTCAAATAGCGGTGCTGTCAGTTGTATGACGGCCGTCATAGCGGTGATATACAGTTGTTCAACGTTTTTTCGCGTGTAGCGGTGAACATTTATTTAATAAAATGAGTGGAAACGCGACTTGGACGAGCGAAAATGATGAACTATTAATTGATTTTGTAAAAGATAATGAAGCTTTATACAATATAAAATATAAAGAGTATAGACAAGCCCAGATGACACATTAAAATTTTAAATGCACCCTTAGTATCACGATATTTGAACATTACACTTTCCTCCGAACTATTTTTTCATTTTCTGATGACTCTTTATCTTTCAAACATACGAATAAAGCTATGTCCAGATCGTCCATTTTCCACCCGTGCACGACCTACCGCTCGAGTAAGTACTGATTACAATTGAATGCGGTCGCACCAGTTTCTAGGAAACCACAGTTTGGTCACCGTAAAGACGGCCGTTAGGCCGAGCGCCCACCAAAGTAACGTGACATGTGGCGTGGCAAGTGAAGTAGCAAGTAGCATGCATCTAGCATGCTATTTTGTATCAAAACAATGTAATTAATAGATTTAACGCCAAATAAAGTGATACGACTGTGATATGACAAACTACATGTTACTTCGGTGTCATTCAAATGCAGCATGTTCCATTTTTTGCCACGTGTTACGTGTTTTTACCGACTAGAGTGACAAGTGTTTTGAAAAATATTGTTATTTTAATTATTTTATTAATTTTCTAACTTTTCTTTTCATAATTTTCTAAATTAAAAATGAAAGACGATCCAGATTTTAACATACATTTTGTTGGTGTAATTAACATTGTTATTAACATTGATTAAATTTACTAAAGCCAAAAAACTTTCGTCATCCGATGAAGAAGAAGACATATTGACAACTGGTGTTACTAGTTTCTAGATACATAGGTAGGCGTTGTGTCACACCATTCGTCATTTTGTTGTTACGTGTTTGCTATATCACTTGCCACGCCACACGTCACGTTACTTTGGTGGGCGCTCGGCCTTAGGTTTAACCGTAAAATGGCGGCCGCTAGATAACGGCACCGCTTTTCTAGGAAACCATAGCTTAAACGACGGTCACTTTTTCCTAGAATAGTTCTAATCTAATCTAGTATCTAAATATAAAATATAAATGTTATGTTCGGTTTCAAAGACAAGTGATTGCGATACGCTTCATTGTTGTTTCTATTCTACAAATAACAATATCATTAAATGTATAGTAATATTAATATCGACAATGTCGACGGACTGGTAAATAAAATAGTCTATAAATATAATCGTGATCAGTTATTAAATTTATTTTATTTTACAAGAATATACATATATTTTTAAACAGAATCGTATTTATAAATTTCACTACAATGGTGATTTGTTTTTGAATATACTATTTTTTTCTTGAAGGACCCTCTAGAGTCGTGGGCCCGTCATGCCATCCTATCTTTACGCCACTGGATCATATTATTAGAATTTCCTTAAAATATTCATTGATTTATTTTTTTTTCATAAATGTAGAGTTTGGTCTATTTGTGATAGCTAAGAGAACACGTATTATGATTGTTGTGTTACATTATTTTTAAGACTTTATAAAAAACAAAAATATTTGGACGGGGTGAATAAAAATATTTCCCAAACGCTGAGTGAAATGCCTCACAGGCATTTGTTGTTCTTTCGCCTGATATGTTATACGATGACCAAAGATACGGGGGAAAAGTTGCATTTTCATCAATAGATGTATCAATGAGGTAATCACAAAATGTATTAACTGGATTATCGATCGGCGCAATAGGTGTATATCTATAAATTATACCCTTTTTCAATGGTTTATTAAAAGTTATACAGGGGTATACGGCGTATACCCAATACGCTATTTTTATCCATGGCGTATAGCTTACGAGAAATTGATGATACGCGGGTATACGGCCGTATCTAGCGTATAGCTTGACCAGTGGTGGTACGTCAGGGGAAACTTTGAGGTGGCGTATCCCCAATAATTATAACATTGGAATAAAAAAAAATTTTAAATTATTTTCAAATATTTTTGTAATCTATGTGTAAATAATATACTGTTGTCAACTATATTTATTATTTATTATATATATATATATATATGTATGTGTGTATTATATAATGTCCATCGTGGTGTATTCAACACACTATTGTATTTTATTGTATTGAATACGTATGATTCAATGAAAATACATTCTGAGCTATTTTCGAATTTAGCGATAGCGACGGACGACGGCATCGAAAAACGATTGTGACGGTCTCCATTCTAATAGATAAGAGGTAAATAAAAGTTCGTGGGGAATCGTTAGCGATAATAGTTACTGTACGGAGTCCGAGAGACTACTATTCTTTTCAAAAGAAAATATACAGCTCTCGCGCATGAAGACTGATGGCTGTCAACCGTCCCGAAGCCAATTTCTCCCACTTTCATTGAAACGAGACATCGATCGCGCACGACGGTCGCCGATCAAAGTTTGCCGACGAGCATACACCTAATTCCAATAATTTCTTTACAATTAATAGATATCTGACAGGCGCGGTGGTGTAGCATGTACAGTTATATAGGAATCAGTACGTAATATTTATAAATTAATTTTTATTGATATAACTATTATTTTGTATCGACTGGTGGGGGATGCGCGCCGTCGAACCAAAACCAGTCGCGCAAGCGGTGTTTTCTTTTGAATAGAAGTATATATAGTATATATATAAGTATATAAGTATATATATATATATATATAGTCTGTGTTTTTTTTTTTTTTTGATTTGCCTTTGTACATTAGATCTTGTAGCGTTTTTGATTTAATATTGAAATAATGGAATCAAAACATTGTACATTAGATAAATTTACGTATGATGAAAAATGTTAATTAAAAAACAAAAAGCTGACTCCATATTTATTGATTGAATATAAAGACGGAAAATTTACCCAGAAAAGTAAGTGTTCGGCGCCACTGATAGTTACTACACGAAATAATGCGTATACCCATGATTTATTATCACTGCCCTTTTTATACCGGCGCAATAAAAGCATACCTTTATTCCATTCCATAATTTTTCTTTTTTTACCTACGATTTTCGGCGCAATTGATATAAAGCCACTTTTAAGAATATTCTATCCCAATAATGTTATTAAACTAAAATAATTGTCAACGATAATAAGGGTGAATGATTCATAGGATAAATTACTTATTACATGGCATCATTTTTGAGAAACATTAAAATATCAAATAATATATTCATCGAAATATTTATTTTCTAATTGCATAGACGAGGGAACCGTATTCGATTAAATGTAGGAAAAGTATATTGTGTATGATGTACAATTTTAATTTTTAAAAACAATTATGGCTACACGTACATTAGGGTCCCTTTCAATCTTTAATTTTTGTACTGAATATTGTATAATATTTAAACAGGTTTAATTTTTACTCCGTAAAATATGTTATAACTAGGGTTCGGAAGTTATAAAAGTTGCATATAGTTCTTTATGCTCTCGATTTATAGCAAACCAAGCTAGAAATCTGAGCTATACAATCTTGTTTTATTGTATATCTTATTTTCCATAATTATAGTAAATCTAAATAATCTAAAAGGACTGTCGTTGTGAAATGCATTAGTTGTATCACGACCAATTACCATTAGATACGTTCCTTATTTTAAATTTATGAAAAAAATTGTTTTACCACTGGTTACTATGTATATTGCTAATGTATATTAATTTTTTATACATGACTACTATTTTAATAAGTACTTTACACTTGTATCTTGAGATCACAAACAATTTTGGTCAGGAACAGCTAAAAATAATATCTTTCACAGTCTGTGTTAATTTTTTTTTTCAAATACTTTAATACAGCGGTTCCCAATTTTTTTTCCGTGGTGCCTTTTTTGGACTCAATTTAGCCACGGTACCCTGGCTGTGAGTTAAAGATAGAACAAAAAAAAATATAAATTCCGTTTTAAATTATGCATTTTTAAACTTAAAAAATAGATAAGTTAAAATTATTGTTATTATGATTATAATTATTATACAAAAATATTATAAGGTTAAAATGAGAATATCCGATTATACAATAGAAAATATTACATTTTTTTTTTAAAAGTTTTTACGAAAACAATAAGGAAAAACAATTTTATACATTTTTAACTATTTTTTATGAGTCGTAGACTGCAGTGCCCTTAGAAGGTGGTCGTGGTGTCCCTAGGGCACCACGGTGCACAGTTTGGGAACCACTGCTTTAATAGATCAAAAAAATATTATATGTCAGTATTATTATAGACCAACATGTTCAAATTTCAGTGATTTGTATTTACATACAGCTAGAATGTGAAATAAAATATTGCAATATAGAACATACGATTGCAGAAATTAGACATGTGGATAAATGTGTATATGTAACATTTATATACATCAGTATATCACTATATCTTTTTATGCAAGTTCTAAAATGATTACAAAATAGATACTTACAGATACATTTTGTTACTAATATATTTTTGCTATAAGATGATATAAGTCAAAATTGAATAGTTATTCACTAAAATTTTAAATTCTTTCATTTATTATTATGTAAAATCTTCAAGAGACATAGATAAATTTATAAAATAACAATAAGCAAGTAGATAAAAATATTGCCAATATAATAAAATCATAAATTTTTAATATTAGTTATAACTATTAATTGTTAAATCACAAGTTGTATGATCATTATTTGATTATTAATATTCTCATTGTTATTTATAAATAAATATAATATTTTTTCTCTATAGTTAAAATTTCATTTTAGTGCTATATGTATATTTAACTTGATTGCAAATAGTGAACATCAGGTTGAGATCTTAATTTTTCTGCAGCTTGTTCAGCCGTTAAATCTCTTTGACACTGAGCTAACAGTTCAAATCTAAACATATCATCCAATATTGAAATATTTAAAAAATGTATGTATATATATTTAATATTAGTTATCAATTAACACCAGTTATAAATACTTATTTATATTCATTATTAATGTTACTAAAATTACCCAGCTATAAATTTTTTTATAGTTGCTGAACGTAGTAATGGGGGCAAATAAATTCCATGGAATACCCAGTGGTCACTATCGTCATACATTTGCCCAGTGGGTGCACCTAATTATTGATATAATAGATAATCTATTATATTAAAATAATATATTTATTAATATTATTTTTGAATTATATTGAAAACTTACCATGCCAACCCATCGAATATGGGAATGACGTTTTGAACATGTTATCATATTTAATTACTAATAATTTCATTACTGATGCCAAAGTGGTTTTTTCGTTTTCTGAAATTTCGTTCATTCTTTTAATGTGCCTCTTAGGCAATACCATTGTTTCATATGGCCATATTGCCCAAAATGGTACCAAAACAACCCAGTGGATATTTTCTGTAACAATTCTAACCTATATAAAATAATATAGTTAAATTTATATATAGATATACACGTGATATTTCTTAAAATCATGATTCTAAACTTAAATTATTTACGATTTAAGATAAATTTATCTTATAAGTATAGCAAATACAAGCTATACTTATGAATGAATTTAAAAAATATATATATACTCCTACTATACCATAAAAATGTGAATAAAAGCTAAAATCTAAATTATTTAATTCATGTTTTAATAATTCTTAAGATATTAGCATTGTAAAATAAAATGATTCTTCATTCATTGAAAAACAAATTTATAATGGATTTTGTCTGGGGGACAGAATATTATTTACAGAAAAAAAATGTATTCTTCCTTAATCAATTACTTCATTATGATAAATTTGTTAAGCAACTAATTGTGAGTAAAAATTGAAACAAATATAAAAAAATAGTTAACTATATTCATAGCACAATTTAATATATATAATTTTATACATTTAATATATATGTATATCTTAAATCGTGATTTATAGTATGACTGTAATCAGTGGTGTATCCAGGATTCATTTAACGGAGGTGTTTTAAAATTTAATAGACTTATAGTAAGTGGGGGTTCTGCCCCCCCTACTCCTTACATTTATAAATACCATGTATTTATATAAATTATTATATTAATAAAAATGATTATATTTATATATACCTACGTTTAGTTAATTTATACTGTAATTAAGTTTGCAATTTGGTGAAATACCATAAAATACGGTCGATGAGGAGTGTTCAAAAACCCATATCATCCCCCCCCCTAAATATGTCCCTAAATGTAATCAGTTATATTGAGCAAATATATATTAGTTTCAGAAATCAATAAATAATAGTATAATTTTGACCAAAATTTTATAATATAGGTTCATAAATAATAGGAAGTATATCTGTCAAATATTAATTTATATAACTATAATCTTAGTATTATATACTTTGGCTTTTAATTCACGTTTAACATAATCCATAAGCATTGGTCTATTATACTTCTCCAGATATTCTCTCTGTTTAATATCCTTAATTCGAGGTTCATTTGGTAAAAATGAACAGGCCCAAATTTGACAATGAGGGTGGTGATTAGAACAACCCATCATAGACCCTTTGTTTTCAAATATTTGAACCCAAACATAAGTTTTTCCTAATTCTTCTAATTGTTCTATCCATCTAAAAAAAAAAAAAAAAACATTTTAAATATTATTTTAGAGTGTAGAAACGTATTGTTAAGTTGAAGAAGGTCGATATTTAAATTATTTAACAGCTCCAATTTAGTAGTTGTATTCTAACTGAATAACATACTTTAACTCAAACTTTTCCCATTCTCTTTTTAAGATTTGAGATTTTACAGTAACTAAAACTACTATTGAGTGGCAATATTAAAATGTATACCTTGTAATTATATTTACTATATCATTTATAGACATAAGAGCAATGGTAATATTTGACTTAGGGTGAAAACACATAACACGGCACGTGCCTTGAACTCCTTCAAAGCGAAAAAGAGGATCATCACTTTGTGGAGGTGATGGCGTATCCTCCAACAGGGCTGGAAAATCATTTGTAAATACATATGTAGACTTGTACTCTGGAGTCAACTAAGAGTATAAAAAATAAATTCTAGAATTAAAAATGATATTCACCACATTACATATTACATTACATTATTACATACTATACCGTTACTTCTTATTACACCAGGACACAGGGGGTTGGTAGGATCGAACTCTAGACCCATATTACTGGACTCATATTCATTTTGCCCATCCCAGGGTCTTTTCATTCTATGAGGAGATACTAAAATCCATTCTCCTTTTAAGGGATTGTACCTTGTATGAGGATGTTCTATGTTAGAAAAATAATAATTTCAAAATAAATATAAAAACTAATAAATCAATTTGAAAATAAATATACTAGGCAAGAACTAAATAAGAATAAATATGAATTATTTTAATTTTCAACACATTATTATAAAATGTAATACAGTTATGCCAATATTTTAACATAGATGATATATATTTAAATCTATCAATACATATTGTTAAGAATCAATCGTAAAAAAAAAAATTTACATCCGGGACCAATTTTTATGTATGAGTTAGCTACTAAGTATGCTATAAAAGGTTAACAATATAAGTGTAATAATTAGCTCTTATTGGTATCTTAATCAAAATTTCATAATTACAAATATACAGATAATTTATTTATCTAATATATTAATATCTCTAATCAATTTTTTATATATATAATATGAATACTCACTTTATATACAGCAAGTTTTTTTTTCAATTTCATAAAAACGAATATTTTATTAAGATTATAATAAAATAGTATTTATCTTTAAATACTCATTTAATGTAGTATAATAATTACGACGTAATATAAACAAGAAAATGAATAAACAGAATTTTATTTATTTATGTATCAACAATATTATCAAAACAAAAACAATTTTACAATAATTTTTTTTTCACTTAGTATATATGAGTTATGTACAATTGATATTGAGAATTTTATACCGTATGGTTTACAGATGTTTATATATATAAAAGTTGACAAATTTTAGGATATTAGCTTCAATCAATTGAGAAATAATATCATACTAGTATATTTTCATTGCAAATTTTAATAATAATAAAGCTTAATAAATACAATTATTTCCTATGTTAGATAAGATAATTACCAGATGCGTTGAATTCCATCACAATTTTTTAATTTAATTTTTCAGTAAAAAGTAACAAATAAAATAAATAATTTTTTCTAATTCAATTACAATTTTATTTAAATTAATCATGCAAAGTGCAATTTAAACTTATGGAGTTAATACCAGCACATTTTTTATTTAGATAAGATAACATATAGCTTAATGATAGTTAATTATCAATACATAAAGGGTTTTATTGTTTGCATATGTTACATAATCCACAAGATAATAATAATACAATTCATGATATAACATTTAAATAAAAATTCCAAAATTATTTATTTTTAGTTTTTATTCTATTGTTCACCTTTATTTCCTCCAATATTGAGCAAATTTATGCAACTGCTCAACAAGTACAGCCATCACAGCTGTAACTGACATATCCAATAAATTTTGTAAATAATGTACAGCTTCTTCATCTCCCAAATCTAATCTAAACTTATCCTGAACTTTATTTACAGTCTTATCCGGTTCTAATGCAATATCAGGAACACTGGCATCTACCATTAAAGAGAAAAGATTCAGTATAAGATTAGCATGGCGTCTCAAATGCAAAAAGGCAGTATAACATAATTTTCTAAATTCATGATAGTGTTCACTATTAACACCACCCATTGCTTCAACCATTTCTTTACTTAATTTCATAGGAGGAGGTAAAGGTTTAGGATCTCTTCCTAATATATAACCAAAATCAATATGAAATAGTTTGCCAGTTGATGTCAGTAACAAATTATCAAAATGACGATCACCAACTCCAAGTAAATATGTAATTACACAATAACCTGCACAACTTTTTATGTAATTCTCCATGATATCAGGAGATATTCCAAAAGGTGCATTCTCATTTGGATGATTTTTACGAAAATAATTTTGTATAGAACCTTCTGTTGCTAATATTTCAGCTACAGGCAGTGAATTTACAAACTGGACAAAACCATGTCGTGTACTTGTGGCTAACACTCGGTATGGTGTAAGTTTCAAATCCAAGTTTTCACTTCTTAAAAGTTTATCCATAAGTGTAATGATCTGTAATATTAGTTGATCTTGTCGCAAATCATCACCATGTTTAAAAATAGCTACATACTCTTTGTTGTCTTGCACCATGAATGTAAGTCTTGAAGGCATAAGAGCAGATTTAAATAGAACTGCTTTCTCTGGAATTATACCAGTAATATGTATACTAGGGTCCAACGGTAAAGGAAGAGGTTCAAAAGTCATGAAACTAAATTTTGTATCAGTTTCAGCTAATAGTGCTTGTAACTTATCAATTTTTTTTTTACGATTACCACTTTCTCTAGCAACAGTTTTGATAATCCTGACCAAACGATCGATAAAATTTTGTTGACGTGTTAACATTGCATGTATCCTTTGACATTCAGTACTACCATTATATAAGGTCATCAAAAATGTTTTCATAACACTCAAATACATATTACGAACACGAATATCTTGTTTGATAGTAGAATCTTGATCTTCACATTCAATCATTAAATACCAATAAAAATAATTTGCCAAACTAAAATTTTTACTAGCTCTATGAATCAAAAACCGTGCCAGATCCATATCTTCTGGTCTACACATTTCAAAATGATTAATTGTACAAGGAATATTGCTATCACTACTGTCTTTTAAACTTAATCCAGATATTGATTCTGTTAAACTATCGGTTACTGGATATTTGTCTTCCATTAACTTTAAACTGTTGGTTATATGTTCGAAATTTTCGTACTTGAGTGCTTGAACTAACTGTAGCAAATACAAAAGTAAATCTTCATCAGTAGCTTGTTGTAACCTTTCTACAGCATATTTCCGTACTGAAGAATGTTTAAATGCCGGACTTAATAAACGTAATGAATCATCTACATCCATTGGAGCCCATTGATACATCATATCTAATGCCTGTAAAGCTTCTCCATGCAATTTCCAGTTAACACATTCTAAAAATTTTGTTAAGGCCTTTTTTTGATTACAAAGATAAAATCGGTACTTCCATATAAGATCTTGTTCTTCTGTTGTCAATATTTTAGTAGGAGGATAACCAACAATGGTATTTAACATGTCTCTAAGTGGAGCAGTTGGTTTTGCATCCTTATCGGATATTCCACTCCTTAAGCTTCTAGCAAGTTTATGATGTTTACTTTCAACTAAATTTTCCTGCATAACTTCAGCATCTGGTACAGTAACTATATCTGGGTTAACTCTAAATGGATATATTTCATCACCATCTTGTTCATAATGTACAACACTATAAACAATACCATTTGATATAATTTCTGGAAATTCTATCATTAAGTAAGGATAATTTGAGGTCTTTTTTTCTTTTTCATTAATGAGTTCAATTTCTCTAAAGGTTAATCTATCTAACCAATCAACTTCAGGCATATTTCCGTTTCTATGCTGTTTGGCCAATTTAGCAAGTGATTGCATACGATTAGTATCCGATAAACACTTGCCTGGTGTAGAAGATATATTACTATCAGAATCTCTATCAGGCCATACCCTGAGATCAATCATACCTTGTCGAAATACACCATGTTTACCAAATAATGATATAGATGTACTACCAACAGCTGTCATAGTAACTGGTCCAGCACAATCGTACACTGTCAGTGTTAATAAGGCATTACGTGGTAAATCACTAAATTGAATTGGTAGTACAACCCATTCGTTCCAGCTCCAGCGGTTAGTAAAATGTTTGTATGAAGTTGAAACTGGTAAACTTAATGGTTTACCATCACTGTATACTTGACAGTATATAACAAGATCAGAAAAAGACTTTTGGTATAAACCAGAAAATTTTTTCATAGGATCACTTAATATTTTTTCATAATCATAATTATGTTTGATACCTTCAAGAGTTCCGATTTTAATTTGCACATTTGTCTCTAAAGAACAACTATATACATAATTTAAAGAGCTACTAAGATTACTACTCATATTTAGTGTATTTTTTTCAAAGTGAGATGTTAAAATCAATTATAAAAATCAGCATTGAATGACATATTAATATATTTAGTTGAATTAATAAAACAAAACTGAACAATTAAAAAAAAATTTTAATGAATAGTATTTTATTGCAAAATAATAGGTATGAGTTAATGGTTAACAATAAACTAAAATATGGATTTTATCATTTTAGTGTTATCACAGAATAGATAAAATCTAATAGAGTTTTTCATATGTTTGTTCGTTTTGTGTGAAAGTGTTCACTTTTTCACAACAAGTATACACCAAGGCGTTTGTTTTGAAATAATGTAGTCTTACACGCTTTTTATTTTAAAAAAGTGTAATATTAGTGTACACTTTTTTCACACTGACCCAAGTGTAAATGTAGGCACAGCATTTATAGTGTAGCGTTGATCGTTATCAAATTAAGCCTTATCAGCTAATAGTTTAATCTGCAATTTCCATAGATAATATAAGAATTTTCATATTATCAATGACACTTTTAAATAAATGTCAGAACACGACTCACCAAATATTAAATACCAAATACTATTATAATCGTTTATAGTATTTGTACTCACGAATACTGTGGTTAAGTTATAAAAATAATAAAATGTATATAATATATGATAATTTTTATATTGCCAAAAAAATCGAGACAGTTGGAAGTTATTTTATAACAATTCTTTATAATATATTGCTAAATACAATATATAGATACATATCTTCTTCTTCTTCGGTAAACTCGGCCACTAGGACCATCCCGACATACATCCTTGCCTCCAGTTTTCTCTATTCGATGCCTGTAATCTCCAATCTTCTCCTCCACCTAATGCTTTCACATCATCCCTAACTCCGTCCTCCCATCTCCGACGTGGTCTTCCCAGCGGTCTTTTTCCATTAGGGTTCTCCTCCAGTACCATACGTATGAGTGGGTTTTGACTACGCCAGGCGTGCCCAGCCCAAATCAATCTTCTGTTCTTTATTGTTTCGAGTATACTGGGTTTATGAAAGAGTGTCTCTAGTTCATCATTTTTCCTTATTCTCCATTCCCCACTGAACATGTCTTTTACTGGTCCAAAGATCTTCCTCAGTATTTTTCTTTCCAGTACTAAGAGTTTTCTTTCATCACTTTTCCTTAATGGCCACGCCTCAGCTCCATAAGTAATAACAGGTCATATTAATGTGATGTATAATTGTAATTTTAACTCTCTTGAAAGTGATCTTGATCCCAGTAATTTCGCAAGACCATAAAGGCATTTATTTCCTGACTGAATTCTTGTTCCTATTTCTATTTCGATTTCATTTCTCTCTGAAAGTATGGATCCTAGGTACTTAAATTGTCTTGTTCTTTTGAAACTTCGGTTGTTGATGTTAAGAGTTGGATATAATCTTATAGTATCTCGTCTTCCTACTACCATATATTCCGTTTTGTCCTCATTGATATGGAGTCCAACTTTCAGTGCTGCTTTCTCCAGCCGGTTTAATAAATCTTTTAGTCCGTCTTGTGAATCCTCCATGATCACCAGATCATCTGCATAAGCCAGAAGTCCTATGGACGATTCCTGGAATTTAACTCCTTCTTGCGGTGTAATATTCATCTCTCTTACAACTTTCTCTACTACTATATTAAATAAGATTGGTGACATAGCATCTCCCTGTCTTAATCCCGATTTAACTAAAATTGAGTCTGAGTTTGTATTTCCAACCTTAACTTTGACAAATGTTTCCAAAATGCTTATCCCAATCAGTTTTATAATCTTGTCCTGAAAATGGAATTCTCTCAAGATGTTTATTAAGCTTTCTCTATGGATGCTATCATATGCCTTCTTAAAATCTATAAAAAGAACGTGTATTTCTCTATCGAACTCCCAGATTTTTTGAAATATTTGTCTTAAAATAAATATCTGGTCTGTGGTCGATCTTCCAGGTCTGAAGCCACCTTGGTAATTGCCAATAATTTGTTTTGCTTTTGTTTTTATTCTTGTTAATAGGCAATTTGAAAAAATTTTATACGCCACGTTTAAGAGGGCTATCCCACGATAGTTATTGCAGTCTTGTTTACTTCCTTTTTTATGAATTGGACAAATCACCGCTGTCTTCCACTCTTCAGGCATTTTTTCAGTTATCCAGACTTCGTGAATTACCTTCCATAACCACTTTACCATTTCCTCTCCGCCTTCCTTTAAGAGCTCTGATTGGATGTCATCCTCTCCGGAGGATTTGTTATTCTTTAGCATGTTTATCTGTAATTTTATTTCCTCCAAGGTCGGTTCTTCACAATCCTGTGATTCTTGGATTTCCTGATTAAGATTAAAATTAAAATTAAAGGTTTCATTCGGTTCTTCACAGTTTAGCAACTTTTCAAAGTAGCTAGTCCATTTCTTTGCCAACTCTTCACTTGTGGTTATCAGGGAGCCATCATCATCCCTTAGAAATCTTTCTTTCTTTTTGTATCCACCTTTGAGATCATTCACTCGCTTATACATATCCCTAGTTCTGTGTGTTTTATAATCGAGTTCTGCTGTTTCTAATATGTTTTGAACGTATTTCCTCTTTTCACACCTCAATATCTTGCTGGCTTCTTTTTGGCGAGTTCTAAATCTTCTCAGTGTTACTTCGTTGTTAGTGTCAATTAACCACTCTTGTCTTGCTAATTTTCTTCTTTGTACAGTTTCTTCACAAATCGTATTGAACCATGGTTTTGTTTTCGATACTTTTTTCCCCAAGACTTTCGTTGATGCTTCATTTATGCTTTCTTTTACATGTTCCCAAGTTTTATCAACATTTAAGTTTCTTTCTATATCTAGTTGTTTACTTTTAATAATATTCTGAAAGCACTCTACATACTCTTTGCATATTTGTTTGTCCTTTAGTTTATTTATATCGGTTCGTCCTTTGTTTGTTAAATTACCTTTCTTATATTTCTTAATTTTAACTTTCATCCATATACCAACCAGTAGGTGGTCCGAGTCCATATCAGCTCCCCGTAAAGTTCTTATATTCAGAATACTATTTTTGAATCTATTGTTTATTAGGACATGGTCAATTTGGTTTTTATGTCTCCCATTCGGCGAGATCCATGTATATTTATGTATGTCTTTTCGTTGGAACATAGTACTTTTGACCACCAAACCCTTTCCTAAACCGAAGTCGATTAGTTTAGTACCATTATCGTTGGTGCTGGAATGTAGGCTGTAGTTTCCAATAGTTGATTTGTAGCACTCTTCCCTTCCTATTTTTGCATTGAAATCGCCTAGTACTAATTTTATATCACCTTTTGACATACTAAACGTATCCTCTAGTGTTGCATAAAACAGCTCTTTTTCTTCTTCATTCTTATCCTCAGTTGGAGCATGCGCGTTGATTAATACCATGTCAAAATTGTCTGTTTTAATTGTTAAAGTTGTAATTCTCGGATTTATATCTCTAAACTCCTTTACTGAATGTATAATTGATTCGTGCACAGCAAAACCGGTTCCCAGTTTATGACCTTTTTCGCATTTTCCGTTGAAGATGGTTGTTTGAGACACTTTTGTTGACCCGGCATCTTCCCATCTAATTTCTTGAAGTGCTACACACTTCGTTCCATATTTTTCTAATTCCTTGACCAAATCCAAAGCCGCACCTGATTTGTGCAGAGATCGCACATTCCAAGTACCCCAAAATTGTTCCGTTTTCCAGTTTCCAGTCGTTTTACCATATACTCTAGTCCGAGGCATGTTGTATGAATCCTGAACAAAAAGCTTTTTACAAGGCAGGGTCGTCAACCCTGCGCTCAACCCCCAACCTGGAGGACCAGACTACCAGACTAGACCAGACTAGATACATATATATATATATATATAATATTACATAAGACTATACGGTTATTACATTATATATTTAGTTTAACTTCCTCCAAAAAATGCACAAGGACGTAACTATTACAATATAATATTTAGTTTATATTAATTATAGTTTATATGTATAAACTGTGGACCTCCCCCCCCAGAAAAAATTGAAAATACGCCAGCGGATACGAAAATCTTTATATTTTATTTAAATAACCTCAGTATTTGTTGAAAAAACCTTAGCCCTTGTAAAAAAAATATTTGCCCCACTTTATCCTTTCTGGAAAAACAATACCGTACTTGTGAATGTATACTAAAAATATCGTTTCTAACCTTGCCGGTATTTTGGTACGGTAATTTCGATAATCCAGGATTTTCAATATTTGTATTTTTACTTGTATTTTAATTAATTTAGGTTGTATCAACTTTTTTTATGCGTGAATGTTAAGTGTTTAAAGAGGCACTAAGCGCCCTTATGAGCAATCCTTCCCCTTGTATACACATAATTGTTTATATAAATAAAAATAAAATAAATTAATTAGATTTCATAAAAACGAATTTTATTTTCATTTTCGATACGAACACATATACATAATTATACTAAAATATTATCCTGAATATCTTGTTAATTAAACGTCATTGTATTTTTTTTTTTTATAATCACCTACTAATCTACTCATAAAATTTTGTTATTAGTTCATTAATTTCCTGCAAAATAGATTCCATTGTTGAATCTACTGATTCATTTACTTCTGTATTCAAGATAATATCCAGAAATGTAGTATCATTTATTCCTTCTTGAATCAAAGCTACATGCAAACGTTCAAGTAATGTGTAGATTTGAATGGTATTTTTCGCAACACTCACTAAAAAATAAAAAACATTTTTTAAAAATATTAATTACTGACGAAGCTATTATTTTAAAGAACATTTCTAATTAATTATTTTCAAATTGTATGTATATAAATTTATATATAAATCTTTGTATATATAAAAGAACAGGCAATTTTTATGTTCCCATTTTGTGACGACACTATTTAATCACAGAGTTGTATTTTTCCAATTTAAGCAAGTTTTAAATTTAATCCAAATTAAGGCCTATGAACATTTTTTTATTTGTTTGATCTTAAATAATTTTGGAGGTCATAAGTAGTTTTTAGATTAGAGAGTATTCAAGTATCAAGTCAGCATACCAGGAGGGTGAGGGATCGAGAAAACTGATACTACCTTATATAGGAGGAAGGGGCTAAATTTTAAATCTGATGTCACATCATAACTATTAACATTTGAAAAAAGGCGCAAAAAAAAAAATCAATGAATTCCCGACAACATCGAAGGTGTGCCATCCTTACAATTCTTATTATTACTTTCATTTTGACAGTTGAAAAAAATAGTTTTATGAATAAGAATAAAGAATTTAGTGGATCTATGAAAAACGTTGACGTAAGATAGGTGGGTAGCCTATGTCTGATATACACTGACATGAGGAGAAGGGGGATAATAAATACTAAAATGTGCTGACATAATACTACAATGCTCTCTTATGAATAAATAAATGGTTATTTGATTTATTTTTTAATGTACTTCCTAGAGTTTTTATGCTGCTATCTATAAAATAAAGACTATTAAATATTAATATATACCTCTAATATGTAAAACTTGTTCTAATGATTCCTGTGTTTGTTCAATTAAATCTTCTAATCTTGCAATAGATAATTTATCCATTTTTAAGTTATTTTAAGTGTTAAATTTAAGTTAATTTTATTATATAAAACAAAAGAAAATTAATAGAAAAGTCCTATAAATAATATTGAATACCTTTTATTACCGTCAAATGTCCCACAAAAAGGTTTTCCTACGGAAATAAATAAAACCTAACTAAATCTGTAAAATTAAAAATAAATGTTAGACATCATTTGTGGCGCCACTGTAATTTATTAATTATTTATGTTATCAGTAAAAAACTTCTGCAAGTCCACAAGTTATCATTTACTTTGTGTAAATAAACATATTTGATTTTTTCAACGTTTTTATCTACAAATTTTAGTAATTTTTTTTACTTAGATTGAATAATATTTTAAAAATATCTCATATCCATATCTTATATTTATGGTAAGCCATAAGTATTAAAAATATATAAACATTTGTAATAGTTGAAAATTTCGTTTTAGGCCAAGTAGAAGTATAATACTGAGAAAAATAAAATGTTAAATTTAAAAGAATATGGTAGCAGTAGTGAAGAAGAAGGACCACCAGAACCCACCACTGAAAATGCAATCAGTGTTCATGAATTAAGTAAAAAGTTTTCAGTTAATGCAGCTCCAGAAGTCTTACCTCCAGTAAGTTTTCAAATTTTCAAATAAACTATATATTAATAGATGCTTAATAAACTTCGTTTTTTGTTGAATATTTATGGTTTCTATGTATTAATGCTTATTCATTTATCATAAAGTAAAGGGTGTCCCAGCAGAAGCGCACGTTTTAAAAACGCCATAATTTTTTTGTTTTTATGTTAAAAGTACTGTTAAAATGTTTTTCTTGTCTTATAACCCTATTTTCTATTGAAAAGCATTTGTTTTTCTGCATTCGTCATCTTGGAGAGATTCACTATTGAATACTGCATAAACATAGTGAAAACCTACTACAATTGTGGAGAGAGTGTCACGGAAAACATTGTGTAAGCTTAGGACGAAACAATACGTATTCGTTATTGACTTGTTTAATAGATAAATTTAAGAAAATTGACTCAGTTGTGAACAAGAAAGCCACTTATCAGAGGTATTATGGCAAACAATGCCATAGTGCAAAACAGTGTTCTTGTGAGCCTACATAAGTCTGTTCACCTATGTTCACTGCAACTGGGTATGTCACGAAGTTATGTTCATTGAATTTTGAAAAACGAGCTTCATCTGCATTCATATAAGATTTCATTGACATGAAAATTGAAGCCAAAAGATCATGGCAAGAAAAGATTATTTGCAGAATGGATTTTGAGCCAACCCGACGCAGATTTTGCCAGTAGGATAATCCTCATTGATGAGGCTCACTTCTACCTCTCAGGGTATGTTAATTAGTAAAACTATCAGATTTGTTTATATAAATAATCCACAAGACATCCATCAATTGAAGGAAGAAATCAGATGGGTAATTGGCAGAATTGACTGAGAAATGTGCACAAAAGTGATCACCAATCTTAACTATCACACTATTGCATTTAGGGATCGCGAACGTATATATTTACTCAACATCATTTTTCATCATTAAATTGGAGATGTTAATGGTTATAGTAAATTTTTATTTTTGAAATTCCAATGGTTTTTTGATGAGTTATTGCGTTTTTAAAATGTGTGCTTTTGCTGGGACACTCTATAGTTATTAATTATATTTTCAAGCTACTATTTAATAAGTTCAATAAGTTTTATAACGTAATTACCAATTTTACTTCAGGTATCAACACGACAATTCCTATTATATGTTGTATTAAAATAATAAATAATTTAAAAAATTAAAATAGAAATATAAATATAATAAATATTTGAATATTTTATACTATATCAATTAAGAATTCAATTCAATTCAATTCTACCACCAGCTTGGTAGTAGCTTACATGCATTCACATGACCTAAATATAATTAACGTATCAATACCTACCACCATTAGGTGCTGACAAGGGTTGGATTATGGGTGAGCAGAGGGAGCCATGGCCTTGGGCCCACAACAGATATAAAAAAAATAGTAGGCCCCTGGCAGATAGTAGGTTTTTTTTGTTTTTTTAACACTTTTTTTTAACTCATATAAAAAACAAGTATAGAACGAGCAGTTCTCATACAAATTTAAATAGTTTAATTGTTTTGTGTTCAGAGAGTAATGTTTTGGAGGTAATTAATACTGATTATATAATTAAAGGGTTTTCTTCCCAAAAAAAAAGAAAAAATTATTTATACAAATAAAATTTTTATTTTTGTATTAAAAAAAGCAAGAAATAAATTTATAATATTTTTTCTACTCTGAAATATATTTATTTGTGAGTCATCAATATTTTGATTATGGTTATAGGCCCCTAAAATTGTTTAGCCCCGCCCCTCAAATTATCATAATCTAGGCTTTGGCGCTGATACCTAGCAACTCAAATTAATGCCACTGTCAGTAATGACTAATCAAAATGTTCCTTTTAAGGACCATCTGATGCTAAATATTGATTGTGACCTTAGGGTGTGTCACTTCAATATTGAAGATAATTTCAAAGTTAAAATGTTAATGTATAATATTTAAACATATATTTATTAATTAGGGACCAGATACTTCAATACAATTTCTTGATGTTGGTACAAAAGAAATTACTAGGAATATGAAATACGAAGAGCTTTTTACACCAGTTGCTGGCCCAGAAAATCCATTTTTAACACAACAACAAAAAGCTCCAAAAAATATGATGACTGGATTTGTTGAAAAAGCTCATATTAGTGATTTTATGTTTGAAACTCAAAGAAGAACATTTCATAGTTTTGGTATGTTTAAATTTTGTTTTTAAATATTATTAGAAATATAATATTAGCAACATTAAATTAAGTATTTAAATACATCATAATGTAATTTTATGTATAAGACTAAATGATTTAATCAATGTTAGTAGTTGTATCTTTTTATGAATTTTGTGAATTAGGTTATGCATTAGATCCTACTGTTGATTCTACTGAAATCATTGGCCGCAAACCTGATGATACTAATGAATTTAAAACAGTTTTTGAATCATTACCTAAAAGGTTAGCTGATAAGAGAAAGCGACATAAGAATGACAATCCAGAAGATATTGAAGGGTACCTCGGACCTTGGGGATGTTATGTTGATGAACAAAAAATAGCAAAACCAGAAGGGGTAAAATATTATTTTCATGCAAATATATCATTGAATTCTTTTAGATATTTTTTTTAAGATAAAATTTCCCTTGTTATGCTTTAATTTTATTACTATGATAATGATATTATTACAGTTAATTTAATTTTTAATTAATAGGAAGATGCAGCTGCTATAGAAGAATTCCTTGCAAAAAAACATAAACGTGGCAAAAAATTGGAAGATAAAAGTTTTAAAGAGAAATCCATATTGCACAGTAATTTTTTATTTTTATTAAATTTTATGATCAAGAGTTGAAGTATAATATTTTTCAACTGTTTACAGTTAAAGATCCTGTTGATTACCAAGGGCGTTCATTCTTACATATACCCCAAGATGTAGGTGTTAATCTAAAATCAAATGCACCACCTGATAGATGTTTTCTTCCCAAAGCACATGTACATACATGGCAGGGTCATACAAAAGGCATATCAGCTATTAGATGGTTTCCAAGGTCAGCTCATTTATTGATGTCTTGCAGCATGGATTGTAGAGTTAAGGTAGTTATTTTATTTTAATAATTTATTATGTACATACCTTTTTAAAGTGAATTGAACATTTTTTTGGTTTAGCTATGGGATGTTTACAGAGATAAAAAATGTATTCGAACATATATAGGTCATACACAAGCAGTTAGGGATACTTGTTTTAATAATAAGGGCACTAAATTTTTATCAGCAGGTAAATATTTAACTAATAAAATGTACCTTAGTATACAGTAACTATCAAAAATTCTTGTTTTAATAGCATATGATCGGTATGTTAAATTATGGGACACAGAGACTGGGGATTGTATAAAAAGTTTTACTAACCACAAAGTGTTATATTGTGTAAAATTTAATCCGGAGGAAGAAAAACAACATTTATTTGTTGCTGGTACTGCTGATAAAAAAATTGTTTGTGTAAGTAAAAATTAATTAAAATTAATACATTCACTTAATATATATAATAATTATTTTAATTTTAGTGGGATACTAGATCAGGAAATATAGTTCAAGAATACGAAAGACATTTGGGAGCAGTAAATAGTATCACATTTGTTGATGAGAATAGACGATTTGTTACAACATCTGATGATAAAAGTCTTCGTGTTTGGGAATGGTATGTATTTAAATTATAAATAGTATATGATTAAATATTATTTACAGTTAAGTTAAATAATTGACAAAACTAAAAACAATAAAAATAAAATTTATTTTTTAGGGATATACCAGTTGATATGAAATATATAGCAGATCCAACCATGCATTCTATGCCAAGTGTAACTATTTCACCAAATAAAAAGTGGTTAGCATGTCAAAGTATGGATAATAAAATAGTAATATTTTCTGCGATGAATCGTTTTAAAATAAATAGAAAAAAAAGTTTTTCTGGTCATATGGTAGCTGGATATGCTTGTTCATTAGATTTTTCACCAGATATGAGGTAATTATAACAAATACTATATATATATCTGTACCCCGAAGGTAAATGAAACCATGTCACAAAATAGTAACTTTACAGGGAGTTAAATTTTCGTTTATTTTCATCTAAAAATATTTTTTTTTCGTGACTAATTCAAATTACTTTATTGCTCCTTATTTCCGTTACTTTTGATAATGTGACATAGTGCTTTATACCTTTATATAGAGCCAAAAATGTACAAGGACCTGAGGCTTACTAAATTTCTTCAAAAATGGACATGGTTTCCTTTACCTCCAGGGTACAGATATATATAATATCTAGATATACAATAGTAATTTTATATTTGTTTGTTTAGTTATTTAGTTTCAGGTGATGCTGATGGAAAAGTATTTATTTGGGATTGGAAGACAAGTCGATTGTATACTAAATGGAAAGCTCACGATAATGTATGCATTGCTGCATTATGGCATCCACATGAACCTAGCAAAGTGGCAACTGCTGGTTGGGATGGATTAATTAAATATTGGGATTAAAATGTGCACATTAAAATATTAAATGTACTTGGTTAACTTAGTTAACCTTAAGATTTTAAATTGTATAATTCTCAATTGTGAAATAGTATATAATTATATATTATTATTATTATTTTTATTTTTTTTGACATTTATTATAATTATAATATTATAAAAATTAAATAATTGTATATAACATTTTTTTAAATGCAGTATTTATAAATACTGGTTGCAAAAGTATTCAAATTTTAAATGTGTTTCATTCAGTGCAGGTAAACTATAACATAATCATTTCATATTTTGATATTTTTTAATTTGTTCTCTCAAATATTGAATGGATACTTTTGTATTTTTAGCAAAATATAAATAAAATAATAATATTTACATATGGTAATATCAAGACGATTTTAGTTTCATTGTGTACCTGTAACAGTTATAAAAACTTATAATAACTACAGTTATTGTTAAATTAAGTATTGCAAGAAATGTTATACAATTCTAGAATATAAAAACAGTTTTATTTTTTATTGCGTTTGACCGTCAATTTTTTTTATGTTTTGGATATATCATACTTTTATCAATACTTCCAATAATTATTTTTATTAAAAATTCTACGTTTATCTAACCTAGGGTTATTTTTGTTAGTATATTTTTTAATTAATTTTAATTACAAAACTTCAGTTTTGGTTCCAAGTATTTATGTTTGATATAAACACACAATGGATTTCTAATTAATGAATACAAATATATGCTTGATTTTATTAAAATAGAATTGAGTAATTAACATACTCTGAAGAAATTAAATTTGATCCGGGTAGTCTTTAAGAAGTCGAATATTGCCAATTTGTCACGTACATGTATAATACCATGAAAGTGTGTGCAAAGTAAATTATCATTAATGTGTGTTATTACCCTGTTCTATTTCCCTGTCTAGTAGTTGGGTCATGCTGTCAATCTTTATCCTTCTGCTAATCACTGAAAAATGACAGTGGTAGAACAGGTTTTTTCAATTGAAGTCTGTAAACAGCCAGCACGAGTGTTCGCGCCATTGTGATCAGATATCATAATGATTATTCAATTTATTAAAAGTAGAGGTCGAATTAATATTCTCTTAAAATCCTTAAAATATGATGTTTTTATGTCATTTAAAAAAGGCAATATATTCAACATATGCAATTTTATGATGCTCTATGTTTTAAGAATACAAATATTCTGTAAAATAAAAATAAATATATTCTAATTACTTGATTTAAATTTATCAATTAATAAATGTTATTATTAATTGGATTTACAATAACAATTATGAAAAAAAAAAATAGGTTTCAATGCAAATTTTAACCTAAGTGGATTACCCCTAATATCTAGTAATTCATTTTTAAAAGTACCTTGTCATATTTTTTAGAATTTTATATTTATAAACTTTTAAATTACGACAGTTTATGGATCAGTTCCAATATAATATAAAATAAACAGTTTGATTATAAAGTGGGAACAATGACTGACGCGGCAGCGATTAGAAGAAGATGGACACTTTCATACAAGCAATACAAGCAAGTATAAATCAATACTCACTGTTATGAGGAATATTTAGTTTTTTTTTTTTTTGGCGAAAAGAATTAATCTTTTGCCATTTAATATGGCTTCCTTGGTTATCAGATAAAACTTCTAACAATACATTTGAGTTAGTCCTGAAGTTAAGTTGAAATTGACTTTTTACATTTTCAAATTATTTTTTCAATTTTATGTTATTAACATTGTAAATTTTAAAATCAATACTTAAGGATCTAAGAATAAAAATTAAGAAAATTGAGAATGTTGTTTTGAAGTAAACTTCATGACATATTCAAATATATTTTTAAGTCTTATGTAATCATTGCATAAGTCAGTATAACTGACAAAATATATGTACATTTTGATAGAAAAATTAACTTAAATCAAATCCTATTAACAAAAACAATATAATTTAAATAAATTATTATATATTATTAAATGTGATTAATGTTATCATACATTTTCAAAATATTTTTAAAATTCACAAAATATGTTCACATAAGTTTCTTAACATTAAGTTATAGGATAGAATATATGTATTTATTTCATAAATATAAATACTTCATCATCAAATCTGTAAAATATATATATTTTTTTTTAACAGAACTTATTTATTTTTCTGTCAAATTTGAGATCATATAGATTGTTCAATAACAGCCATTCATTGTACAAATATCTTCAAAAATGGGGTAAACATACTTTGCCAGCAAATAACTCTGATATTACAGTTACCCAGAGCGATAATACAAACAAAATATATGAAATGCCAACTTGATGACTGTTTGGAAGTTGATAAGGTTGACCACCGATTTCTGGTATGTGAAAACCCATTGGAAATACAACAGCAGCAAAACAAAACAGTACCACTAGAAATTATTAGCAAAATAAATATGAAATAAAACTGCAACATAAATTCAGGCTGACTTACTGGCTGTAAATCCTACCCAACGGGCATATGGTATAACATTACGATCCCAATGTGATGAAGCCAGCAAAATGATGGTGGTAGTAATACATATGCAACCAATGAAAATACTGACCAAAGCTAACAACCATTCAAGTCTTAGATCAGGAGTGAAGCATACTTGTGGTCTATTGTAGAGAGTCATACATGTCCACATCAAACCTAATCTTGTGTCGCCTAATAATCAATGTATCACATATTAACATTTTATTATAGCCGACTAATAACATAAGCATCCAACATTATTTATTTAGATGTTATATATTTTCTATAAAGGCACTAAACTATTTTTTGAAATAATCACCTCCTACATCTGTTATAATCCAATCTGGCATAGCTAAGCTGATGATAGCAAACACATCTGCCAACAAGAATAATGTTCCTGATATTACGGTTAGTTTATCCATAATAAAACTTCAGCCCATGAAAAACTATAGGATTATAATTCAAGACATGACACCAATAAGTAAAGTTTTATTGAATAAAATGATAATAATTTAATCTTGAATTAAAGACTGTCAACAGCAACTAAAACAAAAAAATTATAGGACACCATTCACTAATAAATAATAATTCACTATATTACAAAACGGAACAAAAAAAAAACCAAATGTACTATTGATGTTATTATTATAATTATTTTAATATTGTGATAATGTTATCTTGTTACCACATTTGAGATTGAGATAAACATAAACAAGAGTACAATGCAGCCATATGACCACATCGTTGATATCACTAGATCAAAACCTTTGACAATCAACATTGTAATATATAATTATTTTCATTTTATGCATTACGATTTATGAATTCAGTAAGTCATTGTCTCCCTTAGTTTTTTTGAGTCAGAGTTTCATCTGCTACGTGTTACGTTATTTTAAACCCATTATGAGTTATTCACCGTCAACGCAGCCTAATGTCACCAAACCAGATTGGCTGAGTCGTATCGAAAACATGAAAGTCAACCGAAAAGACATGAACAAATTGATTATGAACTATTTGGTTTGTGGTAAGTACAAACGCAAGTTAATAAAATTTATCCATTCGAAAATTTTATTGAGATTATTGTGTGCCGTTTTTTGTTATTGTGAAATAATGTAGAAGGATTCAAAGAAGCGGCTGAAAAATTTGAACAAGAAGCAGGAATAAGTTCTCCGCTCAAATTAAACACTTGGGGTAATCGGATTAAAGTTATTGAGGCTGTTCAATCTGGTAAAATGCAAGAAGCCATTACACTTATTAACCAATTATATCCTGGACTGTTAGATGATGATCGTGATTTATACTTTCATTTACAGGTATACATTTTATCCCTTTTATTATAAGATTCAATTTTCAATTTAGCTTGCATGTATTCTTTTATAAAATTATAGTTGACCTATTATAGATATTGTTTATGTGATACCACCAATTTTGGTGATGTAAAATATAGTACTTCCATGTATTTTGAAATGTTTGCAAGTGTTTAAATAATTATATGTCCAGAATATATCTACTTAAATTTTTTATTTGCTGATTATAATTTTTTTTTTTATATTCATTTAAAATTCAAATAGTTTATAAAAAAAAAAAAAATTAGAAATCAGTTAAATCTATTATCTAGATCAGAGGTCTTCAATCTTTTTATGCAGCGGGTCACATCCGTAGTAAAAACATGTATTTTATACAAAAATTCAATTTTATTATTACAATTTATATGATTACATTTTTAATTACAAATTATTATTATTACCTATTTTAAAAATATTACAACTTTTTGTTCTGTCTTTCAGTAGAAAAAGCGTGGCTAATTCTTTATTGATATTAAAATTAGAATCAATACCCTGAACAAAAATTGCTAATTGAGCAGTAACTGACAAATCTGTACTTTCATCAAGGGCAAGCAAATAAAAAATAAATTTAGAAATTCGTTCTTTTAGTATACTTTTGATATCAGTTCCTAGTTCTTCTATACGCCTTGCTACAGTTACACCTGATAAACTCAATTTTGAAAAAAGTTGTTTTTGTGCTGGACATACAATTTCAGAGGCTGCTTCCATGCACTCTATTATAAATTCACCATCAGTAAATGGCTTCGATTTAGCTTCAATTTTTTGTGCTATTATATAACTAGCTTTGACACTGACTTCTGAGTCTTTATTACCTTTTTTTAAACTTGAAGAATAATCTTATATATTTTTCATTAAAATGCAAGTTTATCAATTTGAAGTTGTCCTTCTATCATATCATATTTTGCTGTATGTTTGGTAACTTAATGTCGTTTTAAATTGTACTCTTTCATCTCTGCAATCAATTCTTGACAAATCAAACATATTTCCTTTTCTTTAACTTGAATAAAAAAATAGTTATTAGATCATTTTTCTTGAAAAACGCGACTTTTATTTGAAATTTTATGTTTTTTACTGACTGATATATTATATTACAATACAAATATTATGAAGAAAATATAAGACTTTTTCACATAAACAAGTATTATGTTCGTTCCACAATCAATTACAATCTAACAGGCAACAGCCAACATTTATCTCTAGGTAAGTTAGGTCATTTATATCTAGGTAGATAATTTAATTTATCTTATAGCATATTTCCGAAAGCGATGGCTTAGCTGTTATAATTTTATCGTAATAGAAAATATTCATGCTTAATTTCAAATGTGATTGTGGGCCGCGGGTTAAAGACCCATGATCTATATTTTAGGAAAGAAGTGCTGTGTGTCACTATGTGTCTTTTCCCTTCACATTTTTCTTTTTTCAACATTTTCTTATTATTTCTTCATGCATAGATTGAACAGTTTTAGTTAATATATTTGCCTATTATTTCATGGATATTTCAAAAACCTTACTAGTCTAATAATTGTTAAAATTATTCACCTACTTTACAAATTTAATTATTTAAATTTAAAAATAAATTAATAATCAATAAACATTTTTTAATAAGTTAGATATAATATTTGTATTATTTATATTTATATTTATTTTTGAAGCAATTGCATTTAATTGAATTAATCAAAGAAGATAATATTGAGGAAGCACTTGTATTTGCCCAAGCTAAACTATCAGAAGTAGGAGAAGGAAATCCCGCTATACTTACAGAATTGGAAAGAACACTTGCCTTATTAGCATTTGAAGAACCGCAGAAAAGTCCATTTGCTGACCTTCTTCAGACCACACACCGAGAAAAAGTGAAATTCTAACTATACAATTTTGTATAAAATCTCATTATTTATAATTTCATCTTTTCAGGTATCTAGTGAGCTGAATGCAGCTATTTTAAGGTTTCACAATCAACCTACAATTACACCTAAACTTTATAACCTTATGAAGTTAATAATGTGGGCCCAAGATGAGCTAGATAGAAAAAAAGTTAAATTCCCGCATATGACTGACTTTGGATCAGCTACTTTGGAACCCCCTAAATGACGTATAGTTAATGAGTACGACGACGTATGTTGTGACTCTTTTTGGCTGTTTGATCATAAAGATTAAATTATAAGTTTTTTTTTTATATAAATATTCATTATTCATAACTACTTCCTAATATTCTTATATAGATCAGTTAGATACAATCCATTACTAAACAATAATGAAGAAAAACATTTAATTTTAATTTTATCTCATTGATTATATTAGCTTATGAAGTATTATGATGTTTCTATTAGGTAATTAAAATATTCAGATTTTTGCAATATACTTTAATATTATTTGTACATTATAACTTTTTACCAAAAAATATATTGTGTAAGTTTCATTTATTAGTAAATTATGTGTTTTAATTTATTAAAAAATACCTATAATTTGATATTAATTATTGATGCATCTATGTCAGAAAAATCCTATAATTTTATTTCACAAATTTACAATAATGCTATATTTGATAATTAATTATATTTACTGAATTTTTTGTATGAACTTTGAAAATAATATATTTTTAAATATAATTCATATTTTCATATAAATGTTTACAATATTTAATGTGTTAAAGTCCTCACACACTGCCGTGGTGGAAATATTAAAATCACAGACCTGAACACATTGCAGCGTTGGCAGTGGCGATTTTTATCTAGTATAAACATAATATATTTATATATTACATACAATAATTGTTTAGCTAATTAATTAATTCCTATGTCATTGATAAATTGACGATTTATCTATATAGTACGTATTACATTAAGTACTTAACTATTATACATATTATATATATATATATTGTATTGATTATTTTTATATGAATTATTTATGACTTGAATAGTTTCTAGGGAACAGTCGAAATCTAGACACCATATATATTAGATAGTATATGTACTATTAGCGTCTATTTGATAAGTAACTTGAAAATACCGCTGCGCGGTGGCGGTGAAATCGAGCATGTTGCGGTTCTTATAAATATCGTGCGGCGATATTTTACCGCTGCAGTGTGCGTACTCCCATTACAGTACGTGTGTAGAAATTTAACGCCACCACCACCGTGACAGTGTGTGGGGACCGTTATATCTATAATTCTGGTAATGAGTGTATATTTAAAGCATGAACATTAGAGTAATGTTCCAATGTTCATCATTATAGTGTATGTAAATAAAAGTAATCATTCAATAATGCCCTACATTTTAAAATGTCTTCTCTAAAAATAAATTAGTTTTACATTACAATACTTACAGACTTAATGTAAAGACAAAATAAAATTAATACAAAGATATATATTTAAATAAGTATGTTCATAAAATCATAAAAAGAAAAGGTGAATGATATATATGTAATAAAGCATATATTTGTAACCTTTTGGGTTTTCATCGGGGTTTCTTTTTTTTTTTTTTTTGACAGAAGGTTAGTGACGAGATTGGTTACAGGAAGTCGATGAAGTGTGTTTCTTTAAGAAATTGACTAAGTTTGATATTTTTTGGTTCAGGATTTAATATTTCAGTCAGGTGGTAGGACATCCGCAGTTTAACTCTCCGTATTAAATGTGCTATATTCAGTGAGAATATGATTGAAAGTAAGAGAGATCCTACAGCAGTGGCGTGTTGACAGTGATTTTGAAGGGCAATTGCTCGATAATTTTAAATGGGTGGTTGGGTGAGTACTAGATTTAGTGAGATATTTTTATCATCTGATTATGATATTTAACAAGAATCATAACTTCAATAATAACTACCTAGTAAGTATACTAAGAAAAGTTATCTAATAGAGTGCCACGATATTGTAAATAACAACATTGAATACGGCTATAATGAAATAGCAATATAGATAGCATTATAATTTTAGTTTTAATACCTACTACCCTGTACCAGGGGCGTATTTAGACTTACTTCTAGGGGGGGACTTAAATGTTTTCTTTAATTCAGGCTCAACATTTACAAGTAAAATTGTTGGTAGTATTTATATCAGGTGAATCCTTAATATTTGTAGTTTTCTAAACTTAAAGTTACTTACTTATTTTATTTACTTAAAATGGTCTTTTGTGTAGTTCTTTTTTAACACCTATCTTTGTTTTAAAAGTTTCGCTTATGTTTTATCTAATTTTTCACTAAGTATGGTCTCCAATCAAAATAATATATATTATTTATCGTTATGGGACATATAAACATTATAAGCAATTGAGCGTTTAACACTATAAATAATTTAAACGTTATTCAATTTAAGCGTTTAAACGATATACAAATTTAAACCTTTAAAAAAATTTTCATTTACCACTATTGACAGTTAAAACGTTATGAAAAATTTAGCGTTTTGCGTTATTTAAATTAGTGTAAAATTTGAAACTTTTTCTAATGTAGTAATACTATAAAATAAATCATAATTTTTATTTCTTAATAAAATACCCATTGCTTACATAAAAATTGTCTTGGTCTAAAAATTCTCGGGGGGGGGGGGATTGCCCCCATCGCACCCCCTCAAATACGCCACTGCTCTGTACTGTACTACCATTGATTAAATATATATATATATATATATATATATATATATGGTACTACCGGAGAAGAAAATCATTCGGTGAATAGCAATGATTTTTTGGTAAAAGACCGAAGAAAACGTCAGGCCGATCCAAAGAAGGACATTGAGAACGTTCCGGTGAAGGAATCACAATTCGATAAAATAGTCTGGGTCAATGACAGGTCATCGATGTCGGGGTTATACCACCCAGAAAAAAGTTCGGTGGAAATAAATGGGAATGAAAAAATTCCGAAAAAATTGGAGTTGCAAGCCAATATTTTGGAAAAAAACCAGAGGTAAGCAAAATCGAGGAACATTTTTCGGATATATTTTCAGGTGATACGGAGCAAACAGTATTAACAAAAAAACTGTTATTCTATCCGGTCATATCCTCAAATATTCTTATCTACCAGAATCGTGCAAAAGGAACGTTTGGAAGTTCTACGGAACGGAGCATTAGATGATCTCGGCGTCGGCGGAAAAAACAAGGGTACCTATTGGAAGTCCCGGTACTGGCCATCGAACTGGATTTCCCGTCTGGAGTAGTAGTGGCACTACTGGTTTCCTAAGCAGTGAGGGCGTATGTCAAACCGTGGATCTCGAACAAGTTCGGCCGGTGTTTTCTCGAAGAACTGTAAATAGTCCGAATGGCAGATGGGCGGATCCGAAAAATTACTTTCCTCGATATAAAAAGCGCTTATGACTCGGTTCATATTCCTGCACTAATTAGTTGGTTATCTTCTTGGTCGATTCCACTTCTATTTTATAATTTTGTTTCTCAGCTTTTCCATCTTCGTACCTCGTTTTCAACTTCCCTTTTGGGAAATATTTTTAGGGAGTCAGTTATCTCGGTTTACCTGGGGGTAATGCTTTAAGTCCCATCCTGTTCAATACTTATTTTCTCTCCGTCATGCATTCTTTATCGTCTAATGGCTTTCAAGGCTTTAATCGTCGCTTATTTCGTCGATCTGACAATTTTCTCGGTTCATAAAGATATTGATTTTGCCATCGGTCATCTGATTCTGCTCTTATTTGTCTCTCTACCGCTTTAACACCAGTTTTTTCATGGCAGCTCCCAAAAAATCAAAAGCCATCTTCTCAACTAGGCGGCGGCTTCCTTTATTTGTACCACCTGGGCATATGGACACTCTCATTATTCCATAAATTTCCACTGTTACCTATTTAGGTCTCATTTTTGATTCCAAAGTTCGCTGGAGTCCACATCTTCTATATCTTCTTTCTTTCACTTCAAAATGGACCATTTTATTTCGATCCATATATGGTACCATCTGGGGTGACCACCCCTCCTCCTTTCTTATAATCTACAAAGCTATAGTTAGAGCAAGGCTTGATTATGGCTCTTTTTTATTTGGCACAATCTGAAAAACTATTTTAAATTCCTAAAAGGACATGTGTTTACGTTTGATTCTCGGTGTCCTTCGTTTTGCTTCCTCCTCAGCTTTAGAAGTCGAGCCTATATGCTCCTCCCTTGGATGTACGGGCTCGCTGGTTAGGCAGTAAAATCATTATTAATAAATTATCCTCCTCTTTTCTCCATGCATCTATTCCTGCATTGTATTTATCAATTTTCCGTGTTTGGCGTTACTATACCAAATCTACCACTCTATTAGCTACTATTACGGATTTCATACACGTTTCTTCCAGCCGTCTGCCACTTTACGATATATCCTTTAAGGCTTTATCGTTAGATGTTCCTTCATTTATCTGTCTAACGTTCCTGGGTTTTCCTATTATAACTATTCGATCCTTCCCTCCATCCATCGTAAATGTTTAATTTAATGACTTAATTACTACTCATTATCCCAATTATTGCTTATTTTCACCGACGGATCAATTTTGGCAATATTCGCTGGTTATTATTTTTATATTCCTAGTGTTTCGATAAAATTTTCCAATATCGTTCCCTCATTTGACCAACTGACTATTATGAATATTCTAACACATTTTAATTGTATTAATTATTACTTATTTCAATGATTAAGATCAGAGGTCTCCAACCTACAGCCTGGTTCCGACCTTCAAGCTTTTCAAATCGGCTCCCCCCCAAATTTAATGATATTATGTCAATAGTATTCCAAAAATCTGAAAAAATAACCACGTGAAATGATTTCAATGTTAAGCTCCACTTACTTATGTGAACAGTTGTTTTCAAAAATCAAATACATTAAATCTAAGTATAGAACGAACTTTTACAAGTGTAACTGTTAATTGGAACAACAAAGATTGATGCAAACTATCAAGAAATTTTAAAATATAAGCAATTCCAAACTTTTTATGAAGCAACTTAATCATATCTCTATAAAATACATTTTTTATTATATAAATAAAAAATAAATATACATTTTTCTAAAATCTTAATAAATGTTATCTATTCTTAAACTTCATTACCTTTCTAATCCTCTAAAAATTTTGACTCGCCATGCCAAAGTGCATCATAGATTTGGCCCACCGTATAAAAAAGTTGGAGACCTCTGGTTTAGATCAAGGCCATTGACTAAATATACCAGTATGTATAGTATATTAAATATATTATATTTAATCAATGCCAAGGCTGTCTAAGCTCCAGATCCGTCAATGCATTTGCATTTTCCCGCCAATATTCTATTGTATTTTAAATTATTATTATTATTTCTTAAAGTCTCAAACAGTTAGTACTGCTTTTCAGAACTTCAAACTTTATAATTTCTTAAGTTCTTATTATTTTTCGGACAAGTGCTTATCACTCTTAAATTTCATTGTATATTTTATTGTTAATATATATTTGTTGCATACTCATCAGTATTATTTTTAATTATTTGTATGTTAATAGATGTGGTCCGGCGAGATTGGATACTAAATTGTTACTTGAAGTTAAGGTTTATAGATTATAATTTTTAAATCATAGATAATTTCTGTTTGAAGCAATCTCTATAATCTACAATCCTTGATTTTAAGTACTTATTATAAAAATAACGACAGGAGTACTTAGAATCTATGACTAAGCACCCGTATTTTACTATGTTACACAGTAGTAATCTTCAGAAAATGTAATATAATTTTAGAATTAGTACCTAAGGAAGACTTCTCTGCGACTTGTGATCTTGGCATGAAATTTGGCTCAACATATATTAGCAATAAAACTTTTTCTTCTCTAACTTTTGTAAAATATAAATATTGCAGTTCGTTAACTGCGTCTTTGATTTCAGATTTGATGTTATTACCAACATCAGGTTTATAAACAAATATTAAAAAAATATTAACTAATAAGTTTCTTCGTAGATCTCACTGATGTTTTTTTTTTGCATTATAACAACATAAGCAATTAACACTTGGTTAGATTTAAATATCTATGTATAGAAGAATCATGAGTGTAAGTCTTGTTCATAAGATGGCCCTCCAGTTAAATGTAATTGCAATTACATGAAATTATAGCCCACTTCTATAGTAAATTGTTCAGCCTCGGTTTAGATTATCTATATAAGTATATTTTAATTTTCCATAGCTGACATAGTCATTTGATGCTGAATTTGTTAAACATGATGTTGGTAAAAAAATTAACTTCTACCTGAATAGTAATGATATTGTTTTGACATATGAATTAGTATTGTGTAACGTAGAGAGAATGAAAAGCCGTAGAGAACAACGGACAAAGTTCCCTTCGAATTTCTTTGATTACATTTTTTTAAGGTCCCCTCGAACAAGCCTGCCACATTGTATCGCCTAATCGGTGGTTCCGAGTGGTAGGTGTGTTATCGGTTTTAAATAAGAAAAAAAAGTCCCCTAGTTTATAGCTATAGTCAGGAAAAGATTTTGGAGGAGTTGGAAACATAAATGTTTTTGACTATCAAATTTTAAAATCAATTAATTCTATTTTAAGAAAAAAGGTCTAGGGTCTGAATCCTTACCCCTCTACCAACGGCTTTATTCTCATATAATTATTAAAATTACACACAAGTTGTATGACGAATTAACTTTTTATAGTTGCTCAAAGATATTATGTTTGATCATTGATTACAGAATAAGATTTATACTCTATAATCAATTGCTTTAACAAGTTGTGCTTATGTTGTTTTAATCTGCATGTACCAGGAAAGTTTTATTACCACTGATCGAGAGACCTAAAAAAATATTCAAGCATTCTTTTAGATGATTTATTAACCGTGTTTAGCCCATGCAGTATTTCTGTCTTGTCTTATCTACGGACTCTATATCCTGTTTATGGAAACGATTAACGGAAGTTGTGATTAAAAATCACCATGGTTTTTTCAAAATTACTGAAGATGGTTTCGTTTAGAAACACGTTAAAAACTTCCAAGTGTAGTTTAATAGTTCCTGTACCACTTTCTCTTCTAATTACAACCAGAATTTTCTTAACTAAACGCAAATCATGTATATTGGTAGCGTTGATTAATTTAATAATTTAAAGTTCATTATGAGTACTTCTTAAATGAGTTCATAGTGAGTACAGCGTCAGTGGATATAAATGCAAATAATTCTATGAAATAAAAATATCCTTAGTAAACGAAATATAATTTACTAATTTGTTGTTTAGTAAGTATTTTTAATATATTTATATTAATTGGTAAAAATTATAATTTTTTTTTATTAAGAAATATTAAAATGTTCATTGGAATAATGTAATATATTTATTAGTATAGTATTCCATAAATTTAACAGCAGTTAAGTTAGTTCCAAGTTTAGTTAAAAGATCATTTCACTATAAAAATACAACAGATATTTAATAATCAAATTTTTATAAGAGTCGAAAACATTTTCCACGAATTCGACGATTCGGCTTCCCCACAACGCCAAGACCTGATACTTCTAGAACTTTTCCTGACATTGGATATTCGTTGAATTTTTCAGGTGTTACTCCGCGACTAATTGTTGTCACGTATAGCTTATCCAATTTGGGACCACCAAACGTAACTGAAGAAACTTTTTCTGCCATGATCTTCAGCTTACCCAATAACTTGGCACTGGAACCACTGACATGCAGTACCTGTAAGTTTGTCAATTTACACGAGTGGTATATTATTAATTATATTGTAAACGACTGCAATCGGTTTTATTTACCTGAGCGCCGTCGTAATTAGCGATCCAAAGATTATCATTAGCGTCTATTGTCATTCCGTCCGGGACACCTGGTATATTGTCAGTCTTGAAGTCATAAAATGTTCTGCGGTTTGCTGTAAATTAAACTATTATCAAACAACGAATAAAAAATGTAAAAAAAAAAATTACAAATAGAAGCCGTAGAGGGATCGTAGTCGAAAAGCACTATTTGTTTGGTCGGCGAATCTATGTAGTACATCCTAGTACCATTTTCATTCCAAGCAAGTCCGTTGGAAACGGAAACTCCAGGTAAGATGGGATCAAGGTTTTGGAAACAACCGGTGTCGTTAAGTTTATACAAAGTTCCACGATTCGGCGGGATATTTCCGGCAGCGTCTTCGAATCCCATTGTACCTAAACAAATTATAAAATTGATCTTCAATTCAACACTTATATTGAAGTATTAATCACTGATATCATCTATCAAAAATTCTATAATTTACCAGCCCACAAATAGCCGTTATTGTCCGCTTTAGCATCGTTCCATCGGTTACCGGGTTTATTGTGGTCTACTGTAACCAATCCGGTGACTTTATGAGTATTTTCGTTGAGATTCCACCGAAGGCTAGAAAGCGTGGTACCTAATCCGATGACAAATAGGCCTTGTTGACCAGCAACAGGAATTACAAAACTTACGTCTTCATCTGGAACATGATTTTAAAATCATTAAATCTAAAGTCGAAACTAAAAGCAGTTATTTGATTAATTTACCAAACTTAACGTGCTCCAAACGGTTTTGATAAAATCTATATACTCGGTGTTCAGAAATGTCAACAAAATACAGGACGTTATTTTCGAGATCCCAAAATGGTCCTTCACCGTGAACCATTACATTGTCAGTCACTTCTCTGATCGATGCCTCATTGTAGTTCACAGCATAAGCCATGGCTGCCCAACTAAAAAATAAAACCGCTTAGTGTGATAAATCCGTCAGGGACGGATGGGATAGTTTACTAAAACACTAACTTTAGGAGCACAATACATTTGAGTACTGACATCGTGATTAACTAACCAATTGACTGACAGTGTCTGTAGTTGTAAGATATAAAAGTATCAATAAATAGTTCGAGGTCTTACATGGTTGGTTAATTATGATAAATTTAAATGTTGTTCTATGTACCGGATATCAATGTCATTTCCTCAAATAACAATCTATCAAAAATACTCAGAAAGTACTGTTATATTAGGTGTATTCATTCATTTTTCTTTATCACTCACCTTGAGAATAATTTTAGATTAATTATAAATTGCAAGGACATAGCATTAGGAACAATTAAAAATAGCTTATATAACACCTAATAAAATGATTGTCTTAATTAATTTGTTCCTTTGATTAACCATGAATGATTATAGGAGTTTCACAAAATAGAAAACGATTATTTATTTTTTAAACATTATTTTCTATTTATTGTTTTACAAGTACTAGTATAATGATAAAAATAATAACATTTATAAGGACAAAACTGCTAAAGACAAATCTGTTTTTACACAAATAATAAGAAAAAAATTATGAGTATAATAATTACAAAGCGTCAAGTACTAATATGTCAATAATGTAAAATGTGTTGCAATTGTTTTAAAGCTATTGAATTGGATGTATGAACTGAAAGCAAAGCATAATTTAAAAAAAATAATAATAAAATTATGTATATGGGCAGTAATTATAGTAAAGAAAATTGAGGTATAGTCTCTTAAAAAATTGTATATATATATTTATATAAAAAAAATTATAATACACAAGTCTAGGTGTTTATGACTGAATACGAAAAGAAATCAAATAATGTTTAGTGAAAACTTGAATTTCAAATGATAGTCCCCCTAAACAATACAATATGCCTCCAGAAATAGGGGGAAAAATTTTGGTAAATATTTTAAAAAAAAATTCTTCAAATTAACAAGATAAAAAAATTAAGAAAAAAATAACAAAGTTTTAAATAATTGACGGTTTGTTTACTAAAAAAAAAAAAAAAAAACAATTTTTAACACAGCTCTTATGCTTTTAGATAAAGATATAATATGAATCGAAAGACAAGGTGGAAGTAATAATAATAAAAAAAAATATATCTAAATAACAATGAAATTAGGTAACATGAGCGAGAAATTGAGATACTAATGGTTAAGAACTAAAATAAATTAGAACAACCACTCGCGATCAGAGTTGCTGACATCAAGTGTACAGCGCTTTCGCTCTCGCCCCATCCAGCCGTTTGTGCCGATGCCTTACACCTGAAGCTGTTGCAGGTCCGATTGCGCAGACCCCCCTCTTTCTGGAGACTTTTGTCAGACCTCTTTTCGCCTAAAATGAAAAAAGCAATATTAGATAAATTGTTGTCATGATATCAAATAAGTATTCTGTTTATTTCAAGAGACGTAATTTTATCCAGCAACACGTACCTCCATAAAATAAACTATCCCAGTCTAACGAAGTAAAATCCATGCAACTAATCATAATTTAGAAAACAACTTCAGCATTGTTGCTGTGTGTATTGATTAGTGAAATAGAAGGAAAATAAGGACAGTGAAGGCCATAATTAGGTATTTCCAGAACCAGTATATTTTTTTTGAAATAATATATATATATATTTCAAGATAAATACGATTGCTATTAGACTAACTGAACTTAATCAACAGTAAAAACTGACAAAAAATATATTTTAAATACACAACAATTTGAAATTTTATTAGATTTAAAGCTAATAATAATGAAATAGATATATTTGTTATTTAGAAATAACCACAACAGCCTTAAAAAAAATTAAATAGATAAATATAACTGCAAAACTTGCCTTGTTTATCTTGTAAACTTCCCATGGTTTGAAGCGCCGCTACTATTTCCAGCTGCGCCAACTCGGCCACTACTGCCATTTCCCCATGAACGATTGTTCGGTGTAACTCCATGCCATTGTCTATTTCCTGTTGGTGCTGATCCCCAAGAACCGGTAGCTCCAGCATCCCATCGACCTGCAGGCCACATCCATGAATTAAATCCCCATTGCCAATCTATAAACCACGAATAACATACTCAATATTCAATTATATAAAGTCAAAACTTTATACATGCTAATAAATTTTATTTATTCAAATATTTTTTCTTAAATAAAATAATAATGGAAAAAAATAATAAAAATATTGATTTCATAAAATCTATAATACTTAATAAGAATTTTGTTCAAATTAAAACTAATACTTTTAAACTATTCTAATTTTCTTATTTCTAATAAATAAAAAATTAATAAGATCTTAATCAAACAAAATAAATAATACTAAGATTTCTACCAAATAATGTTTACAAACTTGTTAATAAATAGTTTTAATAGCTTCAAGAAGGTGTTTTTTTAATACATAATAATTTAATTTATCTTTTTTAAACCTAATTAAGTTTTGATTGATACAATATTGCTTCCAATTGTATAAAAGGAGTGGTTTAATTAATCAGTTGATAAACTTTAAACAATTATCTTTTACTAAATGAAAACAAATTCTTATTATTCAGTTATACATATAATTTATAGAACACCCTCTTAAAACAATTTGTACAAGCACATGTTAGGTAAAATTACCATAATTCTTTCTGTCGAATTTATGCATTTGCTGACAAAACACATACTGTAAGGCATCATTGAAAAAATGATCTTGTCATTATCAAACATGTTATCCAAGTAACCATAGTCTGTGTAATAGTTGTTGCATAAAATAGTTGGAAGAAGAGTAAATGCTGCCGGAAACAATTTGTATTCTGGACATAGGAAAAAATTAACATGCAAAAGAAATAAACAGAATATACCAGGATATAGGATTACAATATAGGATATTATTTTCTTTTCTTTTATATGTTGATTTACCTCGTTAAGGCTTCAATAATTTTAAATGGCTGAAAGACAAAACCGAATGACGAAAAAAAAAAAAAAAAAAAAAATATTTATATTGTACTTTAAAATTGAAATAGTACAAATTCACATCCAGGACATTCATAATGATAATTAATAATAATAATGTTTAAGTACTTATCAAATTATTTTACTTATATTACCTTGAATGCTTTTAACATTTATAAACCAAATGTAAGTGTTTATTTTATTATGAGTAGGACGGAAAAAATTCTTTATGGAAGAGGTAATAATCTAATTTGAAAAATACATTGTTACAACAATGACACTGAATGTATTTATTAAAATTAATCTATTAATTTCTATTAATGTTATCAAAAATATAGATAAATAAATATTTATGTAAAATTTAAAAACATGATTTCATTTAAAATTACCAATTAAATGTTTCTTTATTTTTATATATAAGATTTAAATCTAAATTTTACAAAAAATTTCATTTATATCACTTCAATAATAAACAACATTATTTATTTTGTTGTTATTTCAGCCTTTTATATTTATATAAATCCTTTTTATATTGCTTTTTGGAATTATTCCAGCTATGCAATTTTAACATATGTATTTTGCTATAACAATAAAAAAAAATGTAATTTAATTAATAAGAAATGAAAAAGTACGCTTCTTAATTATGTAAGATAGTAGGTACAGTTCTCAATCTATGCCAAACATGAAATATAGACTACAGTATTTAAGTTATTATTATTTTCCGAAGTATTAATGTCGATTGTTATCAATCCAGTATGTCTATAACATCAACCATTTTAACTTTTCAAAATGTCAGGTAAATTAAATCAGTCTTTCAGAAAAAAAAAGGACTGGAAACAGTAACAAGATATTAATAACATACTGTTTGGTATTTCATCATTATTTATTATATAGGTTTAATTTAAACGAAATAGCTTAGATGAATTATGCATCAATCACTTCAGTGAATGTAGAATATATTTGTTTTAATATATAAAAATATTTTTCCTGATAATTATTTAATGATTCATCTAATTCACAACTGAAATTTAACTATAAACATGGTTGTAACTTCAATAAATTTAGAATTTTTTTGAACTGAATTTTACACCTAGTAGTAGTAGTTTTTTTTTGTTATTTTTCTTTTTAAAATACAAGCCTTATAAATAACTAATTTTCTATGAAATTGTTCAACTTCCAAAAATAAATACAAATTAATTCTGAATTAAAAATAAACATTATTAAATATATATTAACTTAAAGATTAAAATATTAAAGAATATTATATAATTTAAAACTATTAGAAGTTTAACTCTAACGTGCAAACATTAATGTACATGCATCATAATTATATTATTACCTCAGACCAATCCCAATACTGGTATCAATAAACAAATAAAATATTAAAAATGAAAATTATGTAGTTAGAATGTGATAAGTAATCTTTGATATACTGATATACTCACCAAAATCACCTAGGCCAGCCATACGTAAATTATTCGAAGCAGCACGATATCCTGGTCTTGGAGCACCCATTAATGATATTGGTTGAGGTATCAACCTAAAATGTATAGCATATATAAAAATTATAACAGTTAAATTATTCCATAAAATATACCACAAAACGAATACTTATTACAAATAACGATTTAAAATATTAATTATCCAATTATATCAGTTAATAAAATTAATATTTAATTACCCAAAAGCACGTCCTTGCATATTAGTAAACATACGACGTTCTCTAGCTCTTAAAATTTCTTCTTTTTTCTTTTTATCTGAAGGAGGTTTAGCTAGTGATACTTCCAAAGTAGCTCCATCTAAATTACTACCATTAAGTTCTTCTAAAGCCTAAAAAAGTTATTAACTTGTAATATTTTTTAATAAAACCATAAATTAAAATGTAATCTACCTAAAATAAAATAAATCGGGGGCAATATTAAATTTTCCTTGTTTAGGATTATGTTTAGATTGATTAAAAACATGAGATCTTAAATGTAGGAGTTACATATTTGATTTAAATAAAATTATATAATTGAAAGTCAAGAAAAAAAAGAAAAATAATATTCAAGATAGCACATATAGTACATATAAAATAAATAAAATAGAGTACATAAATGTTTGTTTCTAGTTTAGAAATAATAATTAATTTGTATGCAATTTAAATTAATAATAAACTTCAATATAAACTACAGGTACATCAAAAATACTACAGTAATTAAAAAATTAAAATACATCATACATATCAACTTGTATAATAACATTTCTTATTATCTACAATACCAATACATAATTCAGCTTCTATATATGATAACTATAAAATATTTGTCAATCTTGAATTGACATTGACATAAGTTTTATATTTGTATTACCTTAAGAGCACAACCTCTATCATTGAAATGAATGAAAGCATAATCTTTAATTTTTTTTACTCTTTCAACAGAACCATAAGCTTCAAAAGTTTCTTTTAGACGATTTTCAGTCACTTCTTGTGTTAAATTTCTAACATACAATACTTTAACCTATAATGAACAAAATATATTTATTTATTTTTTTTTTTTTAACTTATGTAGATATTCACTTTTGACATAGTTTCATCATCAGGTTCTTCTTGAGGATCTGCCCAATCAACAATTATATCACAACCCCACACTTTATAGTTTGGAGCACTTAAGCGTCTTTTTGCTACTGAGGCTGCTTTATGAGAATCATATTCTAGAAAACAAAATCCACGGTTTTTCCGACGATCATCAGGAGAACTGTAAATAATGACTTCGGTAAGTCCACCTTAAAAAAAAAATTAAAAAAAAAAAATAAAACAATTAAAAAATTCACTTTTAAGTTATATTATTACTTGTTATTTTGCCAAATTCTTCCATTATATCTTCTTTCCCTTTTGATTTAGGAATGTTTCCAATAAAGAGACGAAGATTAGGTACACTAATATTCACTTTAATAATTTTGCCAGGCTTAATTTCATAACCATCGAGCTGAAATATGAATTTCATAATTTGTTTAACATACACTTAATATGTTGAAAATAATATTAATTACTTCTATAGTAGCTTTTTCAGCTTCTTCCTTAGTAGTATATGTAACAAAAGCATATCCACGATTGGTACCAGAAAGTGGGTCCATCATCAAACGCAGATCATAGATCTTACCACACTTCTCAAATAAAGGAATTAATTCATCTTCAAACACAGTATTTGGTAATTTCCCACAAAAGACCTAATCAATATTTGATTATATTAATAAAATGTCACTATATTAAATCAAATATTTATTTACTTCACAACCAGCAGTTGGTTTGGGATCAGTCCAGTCAGGTGGAGGGCCATATTTCCGTTGCCCAGTTGTTACATCAAACTTATAATTAGTTCGATTTAATATTTCCTGAAAATACAATAAAAAAATAAAAAAAAAAAATTAATTTAGATAAAATTGGTTGTTTAAATACCTTGACTTTATCAAATTCTGGTCCTTTGGGTGGTTGAGCAAATGGTTCTTGAGGTGTTATTCTTGTTTTTTGCCTATAAGTTTTCATAACTCCACATAAATATGCAGATTTATTAGATACATGTAATAAATTGCTATCAAGAAATTGAGACAGAACTCCTATAGCGGCATCTACTGGAAATTCTTTTAAAGCATCTAATGCTCGAGTATCCAAATCTGAATGTGCTAGTTTACCTAAAATAAAAATATGAATTAATTACACTAAATATTAGTTAATGTAAAAATAGAAATTTTTTTTTTTTTTAAACAATAACTTCAATTTAGTAATGTTATATAGAACTCTACGCTATAATATTTGATAGGTAAGTGAATTACCAAATTAAAAAAAAAAATTTTCAGAAACAATAATAATTAATAAAAAATGTTTTTTTTTTTTTAAATTTAATTCCAATAAACATTAAAATATAAAATTTATTTACTAAAAATATTGTTATAGATTAGTCATACATATGAATGGAATGCTACTAAATATTTAAAGTAGATAGAAACAATAACTTCTTAAATTGATAGATAACAAATACAATATGTGTAGGTATAAGATTGTGTTCAATAGGTAGCAATTCATCCTTTCATCATATTTTAAATATTTCATTACTGATTAATCTTATTTTTAACTAAAATATGATATAATTAAAATTTTTTTTTTAAAAAAATGGAACTTTCAATTGAAAAATACGAATATCTATATGACATTATATTATAGAATACAATGTGTCATATGTCATGTAATATAAAGAAAATACCCAAGAAAAGATAAATACCAAAAAATTAATTATTTATATTCAACAGGATGATAAAACCAGAATAATCAAAATTATTCTCAAAGTATGTTTTTATATGAATATAAATGAAAAAATGGTCATATCTATTTTAGCACCTAAATGACAAAACAATTTTATTAGAATATATATATATATATATTAAATAAAAATTAATCATTCTGATATCTATGTGATAAACCCTAATGAAAATAAAATAAAAAGACTTTTTCTATACTTACAAATAAATCAAATAAACCTGAAATGTTGTATTAAATATATTAAATTCACAAATAAATTTTACGAATTTACTCAAAAAATAAGGAGACATTTTTATCAATTGTCTGTCTTAGCCTAACAATATTGAAATAAATGGTGTTTAAGATTATCAGTAAATTAAATAATGGCAGACACAACATTGATTTTAGATATTTTCCTATTTCATAAGAAAGTAGTAAACTGTTTTTTTTAAAAAGCCAAACGCTAAATTTATCTGATCCAACCACGTTGGCAATGTACAAATATTTGCATCATAAGATTTGATTAAAAATAATGGATATAAAGGTGTCCTATAAAGAACGAATACTTATTCAATATATTAACTACACGTCCACAACTAGTATTCAACCAAAATAAATCAATTTAATTGTTTTTTATTACAATCTTACCACTCTTATAAATCTCATCTAGCCTGTCAGCAACCAATTCATGAATACCATATTCAAGTAGTTTTTTGTGATCTTCAGACTTCTGAGTGGTGGTTTGCGATTCGTCAGCGTTTTTATTGATTTCAGTGTTAACTTCCATAACTGACTGAAAAATCATACAAACCACAAATAATATAAAAAGAATGTGAAAGAAGAGTGATAACTGAGAAGCTAACAAAGTGATCAGTAATGAATAAATCATATAAAAATTATCAATTTTTAGAAGTTACGCAAATTGTTGGTTGACCTATCTGTGATAGCGCAACAACTAGTAATGAATTTGGCGCATAGAAAGTAGTAGAAAAACGCGTCTACAGTACTCACGAAATAATACGGCGACTCTTGTGGAGGTGTAATGCACAGTTGTTGCAGCAAAACGTTTAGCACACGCAGAGCGTCAGATGCAATTTGTGATTTGATACAGTTTTTCTAACATATCCGGCAACGGAGACAGGCGACCGGTACGAGATGTATATAAATGAAGTCAATGATATATAAAGAAAAAAAAGTGTGTTCGCGTGAATGTTAGAGGGGTCGATGCCGGCGTCCGTGTCAATTTAGCCGAAGCGGTGATGTCGTTGGCGTGTGCCCGGTGTCGTGTGTACGGGGCGGCGGTTCGAAGAAAATGTCGTTATCGTCCGGACCGTATACTAGTATCGCGGTGAAGGAGGGAGCGACGGATGGTGTTGCTCGCGTACGTGCGAGCAATGACGGTAGCGAAGACAACGACGGCGACGAAAGCGAACACGGTAGCAGACAGAATACAAGCGAAAAGGGTTAAATTGGTCAAATTCGGCAAAGTGACGCTGCCGCTGCGGGAGAACCGTGTGCGGGAAAAAAAATAAACAGAAAAAAACAACAATCCAGGAACCGTTTTTCGCAAATTCGCGCGTTCCCATTGGCCGGGACGACGTAACGGCTCTTGCAAGCTGCATTGGTGCCAACCGAAACCGGTCGTCACCGTACACTTTTCCTACATTGCTACACACCGCACGTATACGTGTATACAATATACATACATGCATACACCTTCATTTAACCCGTTCGTTCCCACACGCCGCTTAGCTCTTTCATTTCTCGGAATTTTTTTCTCCCGTTCTCCCCTCACAAATTTGAAACCGCGATTGTTGACTGCGGGAGCATTTTTTAGTTCTTACCCTTCCGTCGTCGTATACGCACGCACATATGTACATACTACTTGTATATTTTTCTGGCCGCGTCTTCTCCCCCGCCTCTACCGTACCAACGTCGTCGAACTAATCCACCGTCGTCCCGTTTTTCTTTCGCACAATGGACGTCATTGTTCCTCGTGCCATTATTATCGTTATTACGTGTGCGGCGTATTTACAGATCCGTGTTTATCCTGCACAGACGCGATTTTCCCATGAAACTTTCAATTGTGTCTGTAACCATACGTGTATACGTGTATGATGTATGTACTACAATAAATAATATGATCCATAAGTACATCTTTATGTTTACCCATCGGCGATGCAAGGTTGATTGGGGGGGGGGGGAGAATCGCCACCACTGACATTTGAGTTTCAATTTTGAACGTTATTTTCGTGTTACACAATACACATGCCACGTTTTTATATTGTTACGGTATTTTAAGAGCTTACACACCCGCAAAAATCTCTCGCAAATAAATCTAATAAGAATAGAATGTGTTTGACTGATGTCCCCAGACGCCTTCAGCGGAGATGGTGAGAGAAATAAATCCTCTTGTGTGTGAACGGAAAGAAAGCATCTAGTATACATTAGTAATGAAAAGTTTTTTTTTCTACTTGAAAATCACAATACCAGATGTTTTTCAGAATATATTCGGATTTGGTGGTGTTCAATTATTTTAGCCAAAACATACTAGGTAGTCTTGTCTTTTGTCTCTTCCACTGATCAACCTAGTAATGCGATAGTACTTTTGAAAATCAGTTTGAGGTGGTAATTATTAGCGATGAGATTTTAATGCAAATGCATCTTTTTTTCTGATGTCCCAATACATGGGTCCGTTAGAAGAATATGTGTTTCAAGTGATACTGATTATTTTAATATAGTTTTTATTTTGCATTATATAATAAATTTAACTTCATTGTATAATGAAATAATATATGTATATGCATTTTATGCAATGGCACAATATTTTTAATAATATAGTTTTTATAATTTTTTTTTTCTCATGTCAGGCGTTATATATATTTAAAATTAAATAAACATGTTTTTATAATAGCATTATTATACTATAATAAATAATTTTTTTTTACCTATTTTTATGATTTTTAAAGCATTTTTGCTATTTTTTGGAACATTTAAATCCTAGCCCTAGTGATTATGATTACTTAAGATCGGTCTGTTTACTTTTCTCAATTTTACCTCTTAATTTCTATACATTTGGTTTAAATATTTTAAAATTAAAGCGTTTTCATACGTTAATTGTTTCAAATTAAAATCATAAGTCTTAAAATGTGTACTGACCAATTACAAGTAAACATTATAAGGAATTCAGATTAGAATTCAATCGAATTTCTGAATTATTGTATTATTAGATCGTCTGATCATAGTTCTAATCATAGGCGTAAATTAAGGGGACAAGAGGGGCAATTGCTCCCCCTCTGGAATAAATAAGGAGGGGTGTGCCCTCTCCTTAAATATCAGTGCCCTCTCTGATATTTAACATACCCTGTTTTAAAATAAGTACAAAACAGCTGGTTATAGCTATTACTATATAATTTTTTTTTTTAAATCTTAATTTTCAATTTTCGCTTATCTAACATAATGTTAGAAAACGAATAATTTTGCATATTAATATGTAGGTAGTAAAGTGACATTTAACCGTGAACAGGGTTGGACTAGGCCACCAGGGGCATGCCCGGTGGGCTGCTGTAATTTTGATTAAATAAAATTACTTAGATTTTTTGTTTATAATTGAATGCGTCTATTTTCTATTCTTAAAATAAAATAAAAATGATCGCCTTGTAATATGACATTACTAATGGATGCGGTGACACAAGATTAGATAACTCGTTTGAAAATTGAACATATTTTATGTCGTGATAGGCCGATTTATAATAATGATTTCATCACAATATTTATAAATAGAAAAATTGTAGAAAATTTGAATAAAAAAGACCGTTGACATTAAATCTGAACATATTCAAATGTACTTGTGTGTATATTGTTTTTTGAGTTACGAAGATACATTTTCAGTTAAATAAAAATTTGATGAAGTACCTACTTATTCCATTTATTATTGTACTTATTGTTGCATTGAGGCTGTTTGAAATTATTTTGCCCGGATCGAGCTATAGAGCTAGTCCAACCCTGGACGCGGACACCCTTTTCGTTAGATATGTAATTATATATTTGCCTCCCCCCCCCTAATAAATTTCCAAGTGACGCCCATGGTTTTAGTGTCGTATTTAATAATTTTGTTCCCCGGCACAAAAAAAAAAAAAAATTGACGCCCTCTAAGGGGCCTATCCAGAGAAAATATAGGAGATAGATCCTCATGATCCTTATAGATATTTTAAAATCAATACTATTTTTATGTAGTAGACACGCCACCACACGCCACACGCTATAACATATACGCCGTATTATTATAAATAACTTATATTATTATTATTGACATTTTCTCAACAAATTTGGGAACTGATATTAGGTATATTAATAATATTCTAGATCGCTGATGGCTATATTGTTATAAATATATTAATAATATATATTAATAAATTAAATACATTAACATTAATTTATGATCCTGTTATTAAAAACAAAAAAAATAATAATTTCAAAATAATTTTAAAATTTCAATAATTTACAAGTGAACAAATTTCCGACCACAAAATTTTGGCGCCCCAAAAAACTTGCGCCCAGGGCAGTTGTAGCCAGTGCTCCCCCATAAAATGCGGCTCTGAATGGTTCTAATAACACGTTCTTATCGTTTACGCCCCCTATACCACGGTGGTGACTTATGCCGCGTGTGGGAACGTTTCTTTAAAACTACTAGTTATTCTTATCGCATGTCATACCGTGTCAGATCCCGATAGATTATAAATAGAACTACTTTAAATAATATGTATATAATTATTCTTTGTTTTCTGTAGTTACATTATTTTCATAAAGGCAGTGACGCCGATTAAAAATGACACTGCCAGTTCAAAAAATTAGATTTACCCACCCACCCCTTTCAAATTACCACTCATTCAAATACCAAAGCATTTTTTTTAAATATCATTAATAATTAATGATGTTATATAATATTTAATTATTTAATTATTAAATGTATAATTTTAAATAGAAAATACTTGTCAAGTGATATGTAAATATATTAATTTAAATTTTTTAATTATAATTTTTAATTTTTTTTAACATTCCAATTTTATATGCAGTTTAATTGAACTATCTTGAGTACGTGTTCGGTGCCAGTGCATAAAGCAGAGGTTCTCAACCAGGGTGCCGCGAGATTAAATTTAGGGTGCCGCAAAAATATTTGAAATATATATATTTATTTTTAAACGCTTTCATGAAAAATATAGCACTGAGAGTAATAAGACAGACTATACTCTATATCTATAGTATAAAACCCATTGTGTATAATTTATTAGGTATATACAATATAATTTAATGAAATAGTTATTAACACATATAATTTTTACAAATAGTAATACTGAGATGTTCAACCTATTTTAATTTTCATACTTGTTCGATTGCTATCGATTTTATGTGAACTGTTTTAAAGTATTTACGGTCAAATACTTGTGACTTTATCTTATCTTTATTGTTTATTAATGCTAAATATAACCGAAGTTACAAAATATAAATTTAAATATACAATATATTAGTATTGCGTATTCAGTATAAACTATACAGTACTAACCTAACCTATAGGGTGTCTCCAAATTTTTAGAAAATAATAAAGGGTGCCGTGATTAGAAAAAGGTCGGGAACCTCTGGCATAAAGGGTAATATGTTTTATTGATAATAATTTGAGTAAAATGAAATTAAATAACCATGATTATATTAAGTAAAAAAAATTGAGGAATGTTTCCTCGCTTGTAAATTAGCAAATTAATCGCATTAAAAATATGGTAAGCGAATTTATTACATAACTTTTAAACTAAAATTTAGTCATTACTAAACTAAAATTTAATCATTACTACACATATGTATAATAATATATGAATCGCTAAATGCAGAAAGGACACATGTCCAAGTTTTACATTTTTTCAGGAAACACAAAAAACTTAATATATTTGAAAAAAATTGAATTACAAATTGTATGTTATAGAATAATATAGTTAAAGACATGGTATACATATTTCTACAATCACTTAAAGAAATATAATCTAACTGTAGGTATCTGAAGGACTTTAAGGTTGTGGACATGTGCCGTTTATGCTTCAAATTACCATTTATATTTCGAAAATAACCGTTTTCTTATAAATAAGTAGCTTTAATATGCATAAAAGTTAAATTGACATGATTAAATAATATACAGTAGATTATATACTAATATTGAGTCAAAAATATTTGATATATTTTTAATAATTAGAAATTTAATTATATAAATATCTTATGTTCTATTTTGCCTTGCTTGAGGTTAGTAACAGTCTTAGTTTGTAACGAAAATATATAATTCCAAAATGATTGCAATGCTGGCTCCGGAATATATTTCGCTAGTTGCTTCAAATCTTTCATTTTGCTTTCAAGAATTGGTAAGCTTGAAGTATAAACTAGTGTTTTTGGGAGTTGTATGGGCATTGCATTGTTTTTTCTCAATTTGAAATGGTTTGATATTATTCCGTCAATAAATTCACTTGCCTCAATTATTCCACATTTTTCCGATACACATTCAAAATAATGGTACTTAGAAATTAAAAATTTTTCTATTGTACGACGTTGTTTCAATGTTTTATTACGGCTTAAACATTCTAATGCGTTAGTATTTTTATTATAAGATTGTGGTAGCCACATTTGATAGTCATAAATCATACTTTTATCAACTAGAAACACTGAAAATTTTTCTGGGTTTCTTGATGATTTTAAAATAAGTTCTATACAGTCTTCTAAAGTGTATAGACGATCCACTCTGTTCAGTTGTTTTTTTATCAATGCAAAGTCACGATCACACGGCAAAAACGAGTGTCCTCTTTGTGGAAAAAACACCTGAACTTTTTTTAATTTCAACTAGAGCCATAATCATTCTGAGTAATGCATGGTTTTTGTTTTGCCCAGCACAATTGTCACAAAACAAATGCAATTCCTCAACATTATCATCAACAAAATTATTAATATAGTGAACCAAAAAAGAGCATACATCATTTGGCGTTTTTCTTGCTGTTGCCTCATGATAAACATAACAAAATAAATTATTCGTATTTAAATTATGAATACCAAAAGTATTGACAGATAATTGACGATAATAATATACTTCCTGCACCGGTATTTTAGGTAAGTCAACTACAGCCATAAAATCAAAGCAAAGACCTAACACTTTTTTATTCTGTTGAGAAATCTCTATTGTTTTTTTAATATTATTATAAAATTTTTTGCTTCTACGTTTATGAACTAGTAATTCCGCAGCAGCAACTCTTTTTGCAACATCATTTAAATCTTTACTCATTATTTTTGTATTTAATTCTTCGCATTTTGAACAAGCATCTTTGACTGGAGCACCAAAGCTTAATGAAAAATTATTCTTAAAATACTCCCAATAATATTGATATTTTATTTTCCCTTCTAATTCTGGATACTTTTCTAAAAACATTGTGTGCATAGTTTTAACATTTAATTTAGGGTTCAAATAATTTTTCAATCGTGTTGTGTAATGAGTATCTTTAATTGGAAAACTCAGTATATGTTCATGTATTTTTTGACAATACTCATATGGCATAGTATTAGCACTAATATTTTTGCCTCTCATATCAACTGGGGTAATATTATTTTCTAACAAATCGACCAGCCGTCTAATTTTTTGAATAGAAATATTATAAACGTTAATGAAAGCTTTCTTACATACTTGAATACGCTGTCCATCTACTATTAAAAAATACTGAACACTTTTGGATTTCGGTTTTTCTTTTCCTTCTTCTGTTTCTATTCGTTTTCGTTTTCTTGTAATTTCTTTTATTTCTATTGTTCGTTGAAGATGAAGGTCTTGTTCATTTTTAGAATGCATTTCATAAAACATTTTCATTGTATTTTCAAGTTTTTCTTGTTGAATGTCTTTGGGACATTTTTTTGAACAACTTTAAATCGAAAATATTATTGTAAAAATATAAAAGCTACTACTTATTAATAACGAATAAAACAAACTAAATATTATATAATTACCATTCTTTAAGTATTAATGAAGGATCATTCTTTGTAGCAACTATTTTTCCAATCCAGTTTGTATGTTTTTTCCCTTCGATTTTTGCTTGCTTAATAATATTTCTTTTATATTTATCACTGTTAGAAACACCTTTTTTTCTTTTGAGAGGACTAATACATTCGTCGCCTGAACTCATATTTTAAAGTTATACACGTTATGATCGTACAAGATCGTACCAGTACAATATTTATTTTATTCACTGATAATCATTTTATTTTATAATTAGGTAAAGCAACGTTTTCCCATTATAATCTTTATTTACTGATAAACAATTATAAAAAATTAAATTTATAAATAGAACAATATTTCATGTCATACAATAAAGTAATTTCACGAAGTTTAGGCCTGATAATATTACTAAAGTATAATTTTGATGCAAAAAGGTTACATGTCCAGGACATGTGCCTTTTCTGCAATTAACGAAATTTTAAATTATTTTTAACGGGGATCTATTTAATAGGATATGTGCCTTGTCTGCACAAAACCATGTATTTATCAATATTAAATTGGATTATGCAATAAAGTGATTTTTGTAAAATATTGGACATGTGCCCTTTCTGCATTTAGCGATTCATATATAATATGCACTTAACATTTTGCAAATGATACTAAACTACCACCTAAATCACAATACACCATAGAGTAATACTCTATTAATCTACACAATACACTACCACTCTTTTCACCGATTTTGAAAACTTAAAACCAGTACTTCTACTGCAAAATTTAACCACAAAATGGATTAAATGATTATATCAGCTAGAATTGACAAGAAAAAATTTTTTTTTTACAAGTTGTCGAAACTGTTTATTATCGAATTGGCGTCTCACATTATCAAAAAATTATTATTATTCCTAAATTATCAATTTATGGCTATTCAAAATATTAAACCGAAATTAATAGTAAACATTTTTTTTTATATTATTTATTAGTTCAGAAAAAAAAAAATGTCGGACTTGAATCAAATTGAATCTGTAAGTTTTTCATAGTGATTTCTTCAATTTTTATGATATTTACATTTTATGTACCATGTTTCTTTATTTATTTTTTTGCAATAATTTATGTTTTTAAAAATAATAGTTTCTTCCAATTTTTATGAATAATATAGAAGTTATATGATTTGATTATATCTATTATATTACATACTGGTATACTTTTAAAGTTTTTTTTTTTTTTTTAAATTTTAGGATGATGCATCAAGTATAGACAGTTCAAATACTGACTTAACTTCACGAAGTCATGAACCAGCTAGACGTGGGAGAAAAACTAAATCCAAACCATCCAATAATACCAAAAATGTTAAGCTTCAATATAAATTTTCGTATGTATTAAATTGGTAGAATAAATTTATACTATTTCAGTGAGAAATAATAATTATCTAAGGACTATGACTGTTAAAGTATTTAAATTTAGCTATGAAACCTTTTCATTCAATTATACCGCTTACAAAATTATTTTAGTTTTTCCAATATATTTATTAGTTATGTATAAATTATTAACAGATGTGCATTAAGGGAAGATCATGGACAATCCCTATTCGGTGTTCAGTTCAACCATTTATTAAATGATGACCAACCATTGATATTTGCATCCGTTGGTAGTAATAGAGTTTCAGTTTACCAGTGTTTAGATGATGGAAGTATAAATTTATTACAAAGTTATGCAGATCCAGATGTATCCTTTTATTTAAATTTTTTCCATTAACATTTAGCAGACTACATGTTTAAAATATAATGATTAATAATTGTGGTATATTAAAATAAAATTGATAAAAACTAATAAAAAGAAAAAGTTGTTATAGAATTAAATGATTAACCTGAATTTTATAAATTCTAGTTCGATGTAAAAATAAAACAATTTATAATGGTTATTATTATCCTTAATATAATTTAAATATTTAGGCAAATGAAACATTTTATACTTGTGCTTGGTCTGTTGATGAAAATGGTAAACCACTTTTAGCTATTGCTGGAAATCGGGGCATCATACGTATTTTGAGTCCAGCGACTATGTCATCAATTCGGCATTATATTGGTATTAATAATACGTGTTTTTAGAATTATACTTCAGAATTAAAATTAAATTTAAACTATTAATTAAGGTCATGGACAAGCAATTAATGAATTACAGTTCCATCCAATTGATACCAATATGTTATTATCAGTATCTAAAGATCATACTTTACGTTTATGGAATATCAAAAGTGATGTATGTATTGTTATTTTTGGTGGAGCTGAAGGCCATAGAGATGAAGTTCTCTCAGCAGTAACTACAAATTAATTTTTATATAAATATTATATTCTTTAATGCTATTTTAATGTTTGTCTTATTATGATAAAATTATTTATTTGGATATCTTGAGTACATCATACTATTTCATTTTATTATTGTAACATACTTATATATTTTATTTAATTATATATAATATTAATTTTTATATAACTTTAGGATTTCAACATTGATGGTAATCGTATCATGTCTTGTGGTATGGACCACTCATTAAAACTATGGAGTTTAGACAAAGACTATATTCAAGACGCTATTAAACAATCTTATTCTTTTAATCCAAATAGATCAGCTCGTCCTTTTGATACTATTAAAGAACATTTCCCTGTGTTTTCAACTCGTGATATACATAGAAATTATGTTGATTGTGTTCGATGGATTGGTGATTATGTCATTTCCAAAGTAATTGATGCATTTTTCATAGAATATTATTATTATAGAATGCAAATTATAACTATTGTAAAATTAAAGCTAAAATTATTTTATTTTAGTCGTGTGAAAATTGTATGGTTTGTTGGAAACCAGGTCATTTAAAAGATACTGAACTTAAACCTAATGAAGCCGCCGTGTCACAAATATGGTACTCAGATTTTAAGGACTGTGATGTATGGTTTATTCGTTTTTCCATGGATTTTTCTCAAAAAGTACTTATATGATTATGAAATGAGTTTTATTTAAATAATCAATAAATTTAAATGAAATGCTTTAAATTTAGATATTAGCATTGGGTAATACCATTGGAAAAATTTATGTTTGGGATTTGACTTCGAATGACCAAGCATCAATGCGTGTTACTACCTTAGCTCATCCTAAATGTAATACAGTCATACGTCAAACTACATTTAGTCGCGATGGAAATATTTTGATTTGTGTATGTGACGATGGTACTATTTGGCGATGGGATCGATTACAAAATGTATGAAAAAAGGTTTTATTATAAAACCAATATTTGGTTTCCATTTTTTCCTTAATGTATTTTACGTTTTAGTTTTAATTTATTTGTTTCTAACCATTTCCTTAGTTGATTTAATTTTTAATTCATTAAACAATAATTACATGAGAAATCTTGTGTTGTTGAAATAGTTAAGAATGTTTTGTGAATAGTATTAAAAAAAAATATATATATATTTATATAAGTTTACTATTTTAAAAATAAAAATAATAAATATGATTTTTATTACATGATGTGTATGTTATTTGTTAAGTTCATTATATTAGCAGTATAATACTTAATTATGTTTCACTTTTAAAATAGAATTCCATTAAAATATTATGTTAATATGATATACTGAATTTTTATTCATAATTACTTTATACTCATTACTTTTTTAGTCTAATTCTAATTATTTATTTATTTTGTATTATTATATATATGGACTGTTCCCTTTTTACATTATGTAGTTATAATACAAAATTAAATGATTATATTTAACTAAAACGCTAACTTAGAATACTATTTACAATATAGAATAAATATACAAATACAATAAAAACAATCTTTAACTACATTCGATTATTAAAGGCTATTAATTAACTATTAAAGATATGTTCAAAATCGACAAAATCTGTTTGCCTGGTAAAAAAGTTTTTATAAAAGATATCTAAATTTAAATCTATCTAGATACAAATAAATGATAAATATATTTTTATCTAAATAAAAAAAAGATTAATAAATAAAGAAAACTTTGAAAAAAAGTATTCAGAATACAATATTCCAAATATTGTATTCAGAATACTACCCAAGTCTGACTGCTTAGTACTTCTATATTATTTTAACACATGCTACATGTTTAAATTAATGTTAAAAGTAAACATTATTATTAGTCAATAAATATAAATGTGTTACGGACACACATAAATATAGTACCTTACGAGTACTGTTACATAGGAGGACTACATTTTCACATAAAAGTATTAAGAGTATCAGAACAACTCAATATATAATTAATATATAGAAATACCAGTAGATAGCATCATTACACTAGTCGTAAGGTTTTAGGATAATAAAACTAATGCTATGAGGTTAACCACTTTTATGATACGTAAAAAGACCAGAATGGCCAAAGTGTTTTCTGGAAATAGAAAGTAACACAGATTCACTCGTATCCATGGGCAGAGGCTAAGTCTAAATATGACTTACTTCTAGGGGGGACTCAAATTTTTTCTTTAATTTAGGCTCAACATTTATAAATACAATTATCGTTAATATTTAAATCAGGTGAATTGTTAATATTTCTAATTTTTTTTTTTTTTAATCTTATGCTGGATCCACTTAGAATTGACTTTTGTGTAGTTCTTTTTTGACACCTGAATGTGTTTTGAAAGTTACGCCAGTGTTTTATTCAATTTTTCACCAAGTATGAAACCGTCCAGGGGCGTATTTAATGTGTGGACCTATGGGAGCCCGTGTCCCACCCATTCACCGTATTTTATACTTTATTTATTATTGTAGGCCCTCTTATTTTTCACACACGGGCACACGGTGAAATACTGGAATATCAGTATATCATCGATTAAACAGATTAGCACTACTTAATTTACACCCTGCATTAATTATAAAACCTGAAGTAGTTGATGCATATCCTAATAAATACCCCAGACATCTTTAATTATTGTAATTGGAAAAATTATATTTAAAAATATGTTTTATTATAAATTTGTGTAATAAAATGTTATGTTTCTATCAAACACTTGTATTTTGATTATTTCATTATGAGTAACGACAGTTTTTTGAGATGGAAAAGTTATAAATATATATACTTTGAAATTTTTGTTTGTGTCCCTCCCACCCATAAGACATTTCTAAATACGCCCCTGGAACCGACAAAAGCCCAATTCAGTATTCGCAGCCACGCGTAATTTTATTTCGTAATAAAATGATCTGCATTAAAAAATGTGAAACGTGTATCTCACATAAAATCGATACTCCAGAATCTCTTCAAAAAATAAAAAATTAACAAAAATTCTTACATATTAGCAGAATTGGCTATGTTAAACATTCATAGGGAAGTTGAAATTACTGTTGATGAAGTGATAGAGGAGTTGGTCAAAAAATTGAGACAACTGGAATTTATTTTATAACAATACTTTATAATATATAATGCTAAATACATAGGTACATATATATAATATTACATAAGACTATACGATTATTACATTATATATTTAGTTCAACTTCCTCCAAAACTGCATAAGGACGTAACTATTACAATATAATATATAGTTTATATTAATTATGTATAAACTGTAGACCCTCCAGAAAAAATTGAAAATACGCCACAGATTGTATGATTATTTAAAAACTCATATTTCAAGTATTAATTATCAATAAAATAAATTGATAAAGAAAAATTTGTACCCAATTTATTTTTTTGCGTAGACGAATTTATCTGTATATTTAATCAATGTTAATTTCCAGTCTATTGGTATACTGCACAACAGAATAATAAACGTAAGTACATATAAATGATAAGAGATAATAGAAAAAAATATATATGAAATAGATAACATTTCATCTAATCTATAATTTCAATAACAATAACAAGTTAACAAAAGTTTAATTATTATGTCAAACTTATTGTTCACATTTCACAAAACGTAATTGATTTCTAAACGTCTTAACACAATACAATGCAAAATGTGAGATGTATATTGTTTTAAAAATATTGTCAAGATGACCGAATGCAAGATTCCTGTATTTGTTAGTCCTCAATCTTTAACTTTTAGTTTGGATGAAAAGTCATCACACAGTCAAATTATAACTCTATTTAATCCATATGACTTCCCTGTCAGATTTAAAGGTAAACAAAATATATTTCTTAATTGTCCCATGTTCTTATTATATTTTTTGGCCATAGTTTTTTGTACATGTACAAAAAAGTATACTGTGGTTGAACCTGAGGGTTCAATAAATGCCAGTTCTCGAGTGGACATAGTAGTGAGGCATAACGCTCCTGCACCAGCGTTCTGTGATATCAGAGATAAGTTTCGAATACAAATGCAATATTATACAACTAAAAAAGTGATTGGACACAAAGATGTTGAAACTGTATTAGTAAGGTCTTCAAACCATTTTGAACTTCCTGCTGAAAATTTTAAACAATTACTCAAATGTGATTCAATCATAGATAGTTATGATAATGAATCTGAAATAAGACAAAGTTACAGTAAAAGTAAGTTATCTTATAGTAAAATTAAAAAATTTAAATTTTTTGTTAATAATTATTTACAATGCAAATATTTAGGTCGGAGTAGCCTTTCTTTAATATTTATTCTGCTATGAATATAAATGACACTTAATAGACTTAATTATATGGCTAGAATGAGTAAAGGCAATTTTTAATTATAATAATTTGTTGATATAATTAATGATATTGTTAAATAAATAAAATAGGGAATGAATGCAAGAATATAAAAATTAAAATAATAAAATCCATATTATAAAAGTTTTAATTATTTATTACTTTGCTTTATGTTAATATAATTTTTTTTTAATAATTAATTTAAATATAAATTTTATTAAGATAATTATGTAATTTTCTTGGTTTTTAATTTACTAATAATTGTTATTAATTGATTGAATGTTAAAAAAAAATTGAATTACATTTATTTTCCTTAATCATTATAGCATAAAATTAAGAGTATACTATAACTATTTAAAATATTTCAGATGCTTCAGGGCCAAATTTTACTACACTAATTATGGCTGGAGTATGTATTTGTGGATTACTATTACCATCATCTGAAGATACAGATGTTCTTAAGTTTCGTATTTCTTTCAATTTGAAGTTAGCATTGGCTTTTGTATTGGGTAAGAATTTCATGTATTTATATAGTTACATATTCATTAGATAATATATTTTTTTTTTTATATCAAACTGTTGTAACTAGTTTCTTAGATTATTTAATATTTTATCAAGTACATTTAATTTTAGGTATGACTACAATAACCATATTGCAACATTAATAATGTACAGGGATATTTTTTACCTACCAATAAGGTGTCTGCTGGATTAAGAATAGATATGATCTTTTTTTTTTGAAAAATTATATCTGAAAGCTTTTAACTAAATTTAAAATTATGAGATATCCTCCTTTATATATTATAATGTAAGTATATTTTAACACTCCAAGATTATTTATTTGTATTCTTGAGATTTCTATTTTTGCAAATTTGTGTTTTAAAAATATATTATGTAATTCTTAATTGAATTCAACCTTGTCAAGAGTTCATTGCCATAAAATTGCAGCTATATTGTGAATAAATGCATTAAATCTACAATAGTTTTTATTTTGTACATACACTGCCATTTTTTTTATTTATTATTGGATATAGTTGGGTTGTAAATAATAAATTGTATTTTAACATTTTTTTTTTTTTATATAATTATAACTTTATTAACTTATTTTTTAATAAAGTTTATATATATATAATTTAAGTTGTTTTTAATTAATATAATTTACATCTTATAAACACTAGATACTGATTTGATGCTTTCATTATGTGTTTTATATTCTAGAATTGTGTTTGGTGGCAAATTTAATACTCTGCGAAGTGTATCTCTTATTCTGTTAGTTGCTCCTTGATCGTATGAAGTTTTGTTCCATATTGATATAATGTCTTCCTAAAATAAGCAGTTTATAAATATAATAATAAAAATATGAGTATTGTTAGTATAAACTATTTTAAATTAACTGACTTGAAATCTTAATGAAACCACAGCACCACAAATTTCATCACCAACCATAAACTGTTCACCTAACATGGCTAAAATGAGATTCTCCCAACATCTAGATGCTAGACCTTTACGTATTCGTAATACCCATTTTCCACCCCTAGCATTTGATTCATCCTAAAAGGGTAAAACAAAATTATTTATAAATGATACTCGTACAAAAAAATCAGTTAAAAAAAATATTTATATTTTTTTTACCTCCCACATAGGTTTGATTCCAACTTTAAACAAATGAAATTCACTGTGTGATAACAAAGCACATGGCCTTACTAAATGACTATATATTGTCCAAAATTGTTCAACTGAACCAAACCTTGCTAAATATTTAAGGTTTTGATCATAACTAGGAGTATTTCCTGGTTTTCCAGGAAATCGACGGCTGAACCAAAACCAGTATTGATGTTGGAGTTTATGATCTCCAGACGGAATTGACAATGGTATCTAAAAAAAAATTATAGAAATGAATAGAGATAAGTTAATATAATATATTTCTAGTTTATAATATATCAAATTTAAAACTGTTATTATATCCAAAACCACTATACAGAAAAATCTGGATAATCTGGCAGATATCAGACCAGAGAACTTGCTGCTCAGTTAACAAAAACATTCACTGCACTAGCCTGAAAATGAACTTTGCATGTGGTTTTTTTTGTAAAAACTTCCCTTTAAAATGTTGCTTGAAATATATGTATGTCTATAACATTCATACAAAAACCATAGATATAAGGTATCTTCAAGTTTAAAAACTCACTAGTGTTTAATATAATGTACATACTTTTTAAACTTTAGTTTTTGATTACAAAAAAAATAAAAATCTTATAGGTTTATTAAGATTTCTTTGGTTTGTTTAATGTCTATATTAAGATAAAAAAAAAAAAGACAGTGCAGGAATGTTCTGGATTAATGCATGGCCAGATTACTAAGAATTTACTGTATCTAAGAATATAGTATATAATATATACATAAGCGCGCATAGACTGGCATGGTATTCATGCATAACACATTAAAATTTAATATTAACAACAAATTTGGATGGGGTAACTTAATTTAACTTAATAATTATATTTATCCAATATTCTTGTACATGTATTTACCCTTTACAGTTGTTTTGAAGTGATTAAAAAAAATATGGTTATTGAATATTGTGATAATATTGAATATTTTGGTGAGGGAGAGAAGGTTCACAGAGTAGTCAAAAGCCTAGGTTAGGCAATTAAAATTATAACATTATAAGTAACATTATAATGAATAATTGGTTAAAAAAATGAATATTCAATATTTTAACCAATTATTAATATCGGTCAATAAGTAGTTAAAATCTGCTTGTTTATTTTTAATAATTTGATAACATTAAAATAATAAATTACTATGAACAATTTACTTCGGTTTTAGTAGAATTAGGAAGTTTTTAAAATATTTTGTTGATACTAGAGTATTAAAAATTACTGATCTAGTATAGACAAAGGGAAAAAAGCTTAGATAAAATTATATTGGTGATTGATGATAGTAAATAAATATATAATCATACTTATAATAAATCCATATTATGATAGATATCCAATTTTTAAATTTTATGAGACCTCAAATTATCCAAAATGTTTCATTAAATATAAATAATATACCAGCAATGGGCCTGAATGGACCACCAAACTGATAAGAAAAAGAAATAATATAGTCCATCACGTTTTTTATAAAATTTTTTTAAAATACAAAATTTTAATTAGTACATAAACAGTTGTAATTTGTTGGTCATTTTGTATATAATGATAACATTTTGAAACTTAAGACTTAAGACTGAACACATGCAATTTACAATATTAGCTAAAAGAAGAATAAATTGTAATAAAATAGCATAGTTAATTTTTATTAATGAGCCATAAAAAAAAATTTATAGCAGACCATGCATTAAAATTTCTGTATAGGTATTTTACACATATGATATGAAATTACATTTTTTATAGTAGATCTCAATAAACAGTTAAAGATTTTATTACTATTAATTTTATCTGAATATATTTAATAGATTATACATTTTAAAATAAATATGATATAATTTTTCAATTCTTATTTAATGATTTAGTGAATTGGTTAATAACAGTCGCAGGCTGTAATTGATTATTACTGGCTTAATATATTTAATTTCAGCCCAACAAAAGAATATAGACTATAGCTGAAAATTAACTTATTTGATACGTACAAATTTAAATTAATTTAATTGAAGGTTTAGGAAAAATACTAGATCAAATATATCCTTTATTGTTAAATAAAATGTGAGATTTTATACTGTTATACAGGTTATTATAATTGTTGATAAAAAATATTTTATCAAGTTATTAATTAAATATAATTATTAGTAAAAACATGTTAAAAATGTCAATCACATTTTTAAGATATCAATAAAATTCAACCATAATTTTAACTCATAGTATGTAGTATCAATAAATGTATAAACCGACATAAAAATATAATAACAAAAATTGCAGTTTTTAATTATTTAGACATTAGTCAAAGAAGATATGCAAATGTACTTGGTTAGTCTTAAAATAATTTATACAAACATTTACTAATTTGTCAGCTATCATCATATCTTTGGATGTGGTGTTCTCGTCTTCATTAACTGTTTTCGATCTGAAAACATGCAGACATTATAAAATAATTATAAACAATTATTTTATCTAAAATACTAACCCTTCGAATTTACTAGCCATAATATTTTAGTTAAATGCAGTATAAAAGGTATGTTTATTCAAATATTTACAAATATGGTTCTATAATATATTAATATTCACAAAAGTTTAAACACGTTATCACACAAAATGCTTGGTTCTAATATTATCGTGTGTTGTGGCAATGTAAACAAATAAAAAGAACAAGAAAAATGTAATTATTGATAAGCGATAACAGCAAATTATTGGGTTTTAGTAATTTCAAATTATATTTTCATTCTATTATTAAATTATGTCATTATGACGGTAGATAGACTTATCACTGAACAATTATGAGCGACTCTTGCAGTGAAAATACCGATTTCTTAGTGTCTCTGCCATCGGATTTCTTTCAAGTTCACACATCAGATAGTGAAGCGGTTAATGATTCAGGAACCGAGGAATTGTTAATCAGCTCCAGTAGCAGTTTTAAAGGTGTAATTAACGATTTAGTAACAAATTTGGATACTTTGTCTAGTCAAATTAATGAAATTGAACAAATGGAAACTAGTTGTATCAGCAATGGACTGGCTAGTCCACTCAGTACTTCCTCACCTCTTAAACTAAATTGTGAAAAAAAAATTAACTATAGCTCCATTGATTCATTAATGCATGAAATGGTTAATACTTATGAATACAATGATAAATTATTAAGAAATATGGGTAATGGTCATCCTCAGCGTAATGTCAATTTCCAAGAAAATGATGTCAGATCCCCTGCCAAAATCAAAGAAAGCGTTTGTGAGGGATTAAATAATAACAAATTACAAAGGTGAATTTTTTAAGAAAATAATATTAATGAAGTAAATTGTGTATTTTACTTTGAAGAATTGATTTTTAGTTTATGTGACAACTTGGATAATGTAAATGCACATGAACCAATTTTAAATGATACTCAGAAATTGGATTCTGTTTCAAAAGAGAATTTATGGTTAAAACTCGGAAAGGAAATTTACCGCAGACAAGTAAGAGAATTTGATTGTCAATTTAAGAATGTGTTACCTATAGCAAATTTTGTAATTTGTTTTAAATACATTTTAGTTTATTTTCCTCATGTTTTATTAATACTTTATTTTCATAGTATTAATAAGTATAAATGAATATCCTTTACCAATAACTTCCCTTATTCTCATGTCTTGTTCTAAATAAATACTTAATAACTTCTGACTCAATGTTTTACCTATAATATATCAATTCCAATCCTTTTATTTACTACTTATCTCCTCTAATGCTTAACAAATCACCCTCTAACTTCATCATACAATTTCTTTATACTCCCAATCACATCAGAGTTCACAGCAATGAGGTTATTGATAGCTTAGCCAAATCCATGACCAACTCAATCTGTCCAGTTATTATTCAACTTCCTCATACAAATTTTACTCCAATTATACACCCACATTAAAAACCTCTGGATCACTCATTAGGGATATCTCCTAGCATAATTTCCTACCAGATATAAAAACATTGTCCTAAATTCTACCCAGTTCTACCATAGTTTAATGCAATTGATTATGTACAGAATACATATTTTTAATTTACCATAAATTACTTTACACTCTACATCCTACATCTCATAGAAAACCCATGTTAGTTTACATGAATGTTCTGCCTCGCATACCAAATGTTTAATTTTGTTAAGCTCATTAAAATCCGCAAGTGTTTTCTGCAATGTATTGTCCATTCTTAACTCCACTTTATATTGTATGTTGGTTTCCTTATTCGAATCTGTTGGATTTATTGTGAATAGTTTGTTTTTAAATTGTATATAACTGTATAATTGTATTGTTATAATAACTGAAATAATTGTTAAACTATCATTGTATAACAAAAAACTAAAAAAAAAAGAAAAGAATTATAAATGAATAAATAAACATATTAATATAGCATTTAATAGATATTTTTATATGGTTTAATACAGTACATTTTCAAACTAATTGTTAGTAGTCAAATTTGGTTAATCGGTTTAAGTATGCAGTATTTGAATATTTACTGAAAATAATAGTTCTTATTTTATTTTTACACCAATGCATTTAAACATTTTACCCTCAACTTCTGAATTGTAAATTTATTACCCAATACAAATAAAATTTATTTATTACTGATGTGTGGTCTACCGGACTTCATATATTTGTACATAGTCTAAATAAAAATATAAACAAAGTATAATCATTCAACATTCAAATTGTACTCTGAATATTATTTATATTTATTTAAGTAAAAATAAATTATTTTTATACAATTAAAAAAAAAAAAAAATTTATTATTATTATGGGTCAATATTGATATTGCCAACAAATTACTGTAAATAGAAAAAAAAAACAAATAGTAAACAATCCTTTATTCTTAAAAATAAAAAAAAAAATTAGAAAAAATAAAAAAATTTTATGATCATTAATCAGGATTAATCGTATAAGAAATATGTAGCCAATTGATTACTATAATAATATATGAAAAATAAATACTTGTGCACAATGAATTATACTGCTCTACACTGTAAGATCAAACTTTTAGTCAACAATAAAGTATTATAACTTCAAAACTTAGCCCAACCGTCAAATTCTTATCTCTTAATGATTTTTCATCATGAACTCTTGTTCATATTTGAATAAAAAAAAAAGGGCACTATAAACTATGAATATACCATTTAATGTTACAGAATATTGAAAAAAAAGTAGTTGATTTAGAAGAAAAATTAATAAATTACGAAAAAAAAATTGGTGAATGCAAAGAAATGGACAGTCAAAAAAATAATCTTCTTGATGAACTTGCTGCACGATCTGCTATGATTTTAAGTCAAGTAAGAGCATATAGTTCTATAAATGAAAAACTCAATCATGATTTACAAGGAGAACGTAAGAATAAAAAAGATATATTGGAAGCAATGAAAGAAAAAATTGAACTTTACAAATTTGATTCAGCTAAAGCTATTTCTCGTTGTAATTCTTATAAAGCTAGAACAGAAAGCGCAGAACGAAGGTTGAATGAGTTAATGAAAAATTGCCAAAAAGTAGAAGAACAAACCAAACATATGCAATTAAATATAGAACAAAAAAACGAAGAAATAGAAAGACTTCAAAATGAATTAATTAAAACACAAGAAAAAAATAAAAATGTAAATTTGTAACTATCATTTTAATAAAAGTGTACATCTAATTTATTATGTTATGTTTTTAGGTTACTGAAAAGTACAATAGAACTATAGATAAATGTAATGAATTAGAAAAAGAAGTATTAATTCTAAACCAAGAAAAAAAGGTGCTATGTGACAAAACATTAAAATATGACCAACTTTTGGATCAAAAACGAAGAATTGAAGAAATAGTAAATCAAATGAAGTGCACAGAGGTTTTTAAATATATAACTATACATTTTAAAATATATTTAAAATATATAATTATTTTACATAAAATATATAATATTGTACCAAAAGAACATGCTCAAGTGTAACTCATAATGTCTAGGCATTATTTTTCTGTTTAGTTAAAGTTTTTTTACCTTATGACTTTCACAAGATTTTTAATATTTAAGATTATGGAAAATTTTATAATTTTACTTTTTATTTTTTTTTATATGATTTTTGATATATCTGTTTAAGGAAAACCCCAAATAAACTGAAAACTCTTTCTTAAATTTAAATTTTATGAAATATTATTATAAATAATATAATAAATTTTGTTCTGATGAGTTAGAAAATGTCTAAAACAGAACAATTTTTAGGAACCATACAATTCCGTTTTAGAGGGTGTAGAACCAGTGACGGTGCTAGAGTTTCCGAGGCCTTCGTTAAAATAAATGTTGAATCTTATAATTACTATTAATAAAATATTTTAAGTTCAGTTAAATCAGAACCGTAGGGCCTTAATTATAATTTAAGGCACTGGACCCTGGGCAATTTCCCCTATGTCCTCCCCTTACGCCGTCCCTGTGTAGAACAGTTTAAATACAAATTTCACTATAATTGCTAAAATCATTATGTTAATGCAGAAAGAAAAACAAAGATAATACTGTGATATAAACATACTTTCTAATTTTTACTTTTATATATTTTTACAATATTAATTATTTAACAATTACAGTGTATTACATTTTTATTGCTTTTTTAATAATAAAACAAAATATACTTATCTTATGGTATCAAGTTTGTCAAAAATGTAAACCCAAAATGATCATATTAATATTCACCTTTATAGGATATTGGATAGTTAGGAATTAACAGTATGCCATTTACTAAATAAGTTAAATCAAATCCTTATTTTGGTATATAATATAATAGGTTGTACAATCCGCCAATAATTTCTGGTTACACCTATATATTGTATTAAACTTAAACATTTTTTAATTTAATATTAAAATTATAAAGAAAAAATTATTATTTATTAGATACAAACAACAGAAGAGCTGAATGCAGCAAAAGAGGAAATTAAAACTGTGAAGACTGAGCTAAAGAGTTTTTATCAAAAACAACTTGATGCTATGTTGACCGAAAAAGTGTCAGATTATCAACGTAAATTAGATGGGATTGTTCAAATTACGAATGAAGAAAATAAATTATTAAAGCTGCAAATGAATAACCAGATCGCTAATTATAAAGAAAGGTTGTAAAATTACTTAATAATTTTACACATGTATATGTTCATTAATAAATAGATATTAATGATTCCTTGATATTTAGACACGAAAAAGATAAAGCACAAATTAATGCAAAATATACAACAGAATTAGAAAATTTGGAGAAGATTTTAAAAGATAAATCTGTTTATATTTCCACTTTGGAAAAACGTTTAGAATCTGAGGTCCAAGAAAAACGACAATTAGTTAAAAGTGTTATGGAAGTTATGAAAAATGTTAATATTGAAAGTCAATCAAATTCAGTTAGTTAATATTTATTTAAATTAGTATACTATAAATTATAAATATAAATTAATGTATGCTTTCATTGATTTTCAGAAATTAAAAAATGATAATAAATATAAAAAAAATACATCCAATATCAGTAATTCATCTTCAAGATTAGAAGATGATTTTTCGTTTTTTGAACAAGAGAAATTATTACATCAAGTAACACCAACAGAATTAAGAAAGCACATAGAAACTGTGAGTAAAATATGTGATTTTTTTTTTTGATAATTGGCTGAGTTTTTTTTTTTTAATTTTTTCAGCTTTTGAATAAATATCCTGGAAATCCTTTAGCACAAAAATGATAATTTCATTGTATAATAATTATTTTTTTTTTTTGTTTGAGTGATGCATTAAACTACAAAACTTACATTGTTCCTTCACATTTAACTTTTATTTATGTATAGAAATTAGAAATATATAATTTATATATATATATATATTTACACAAAATATTATAATAATTTATACATTTATTTATGTAATATAATGTTTATTTTTATAGTAAATAATTTTTATATTATTTATATAATTTTAACTGTTGCATATAGTTAAAATAATAATATAGTGTAATTTAATTTATTTAGCAGATCAAAATATTTACAATGTAATTATAATAATTACTAGCATTTCCTCAAAAATACATTTTAAATCACAACTGTTAAATGTATAAATGTTTTAAGTCACTTTTAAGCTACTTCTTTTTATAAAAACAATGAATATATTATACCTATCCATTTCTCATAATATTTTTTTCAGTCTTATATCCATTTTAATATTTTTATTTCTGGACACTCAGTGGCTTTTAACAAGTGTTTTTAAAACAATATCTTTTAAATAGTTTGGTCATTAACTATAGAAATATTTACTCCAGCACAACAATATATAGATGTATATATCTTATAATTACTATTTTATGCTATTTTTGGTGTTTTGGTAGGTGGTACCTTGTATGGAAAGTATTTGACTAGTATTTTTTTTTAGAGTTTGATACCACAGTTTACACACTTTTATTTACAACCTCAGTTAAGCTTTATTATTTGTCTATCAAATATGTATTATAATCTTTATTATTTATTATTATCAGATTATCGAAAAATTGTTAATATTCTACTTTGTCTAGCAACAATTTGTTTTATATTTTAAATCTTCCTCAGAACCACAAATATATTACCATACCTATCGTTCATAAATGCTTGCATTTATTAACATCACTTATTATATCCTCACTGGTTTACTCAATAAATGCCGTAGCCAACCATTTTTTTGGGGGGGGGGAGGGGTACTTAATTATTTTCTCTAGTTTTTTGCAATACATACTTATCACTTATACCTATTACTTTATATGACCTCATTGTTTGTAAACTTTGAAGGTTCATATACCAAATTTTTTTTTAATTATTGTACAGCTGTTGGAAACTATAGTATTCACTATATGTTTAACATAACAGTATATAATAATGTATTAACATTATTGTAAACCATTTTTTTATATTAATTGATATATGTAATTTATTAAATAATTAATGTAAAATAATTGTATTAAAATTATATTCTAAATTTCCAATTTAAATCTACTCCGTTTTTTTTTTAAAAAAACATTGTATATATTAGAAAACATAATAAAGCCCTTAATGAAAAAAAAAAAAATTAATAAAAATATTTATGGTGGAAGGGGCACGTGCTTCCATCCCCCTTGGCTATGGTTCATTCATAACATTTCTTGTCCTGTTCAACTTCTTGTTCTTTACCTCTAATTTTGTACTATTACTTTAATTTTTATTAATCTAGGCCTAGGCACAGATACAAAAATGTTGTAAGAGGTACATAGAAAGTTTCTTTTTGTAAGTCATATATTATAATTAATTAAGATATTAATTTAAGATTAAGATAAGATTAATTTAAGATTAATTAAGATATTAATTAAGAGATAACAGTAATCGTTCCGTACAATATAATTTATAAATTATGGGGACTGGCGCCTGTAATATAGTCGTTAATCCCCTATTTCGTCAAGTTTAACTATACTTTTTCAAGCCACTTTTATGCCATCTTGAACTTTTCATATTTTGAGAACCTTTTCATGTTTTCAACGAATTTAATTATATCCTGGTACTTGCATACATTTAAATAACGCTTATCTCATAGTTATGAGACATTAATGATTATTTTCATCACAAGTCGTTATATTTTGTACTACACTCTGTATCTATTATGATATCATAACATAATCGACATAAACAGTTTTATGACATGTATACGTAATTTTATATATGGTTGTAAACTATAAACGTTTATACAATTTGGCGTGTGCACTGATTAAACCTACTTTGTGGTCTCAATTAAGACTGTAATTGTTTATGAATTTTTTTCGTTTTTCATTAATTCCATTATTTATTTATTAATTTATTTTACTTTTATTATTATTATTTTACATTAGTTGTTAAAGTATTACACTCCTACTTTAATCTTTACAATTTAACTGAAATAAAATAGATTTCAATGATTTCATAGTTTTTGTGCTCGTACAAATAACCAATATACATAGGAAATGGCCAAAATCCTGTCATAAACAAGACTAATTAATTAGATTAATTAGTACCTATCAATAGAAAATCTTCAATATTATTTTAATTTAATAATGTATTAACGATTAGACATTAATAAGCTTTCATTTCTTCATGCTTACTGGCATAGAAATTATTAATTCTCAGTAGACAACCACCGAAGTAAAAAATCGTTTTTCAATGACTTATCACAAATTACGTACTCTATGGTCTTATCAACGTTTATGGTAGTAAAAAAAATTAACTACATACGTATCGTCCTTACTGTTCATTCTTCATTATTTATATAGTCGTTGACCTCTAATACTAAAATTATTTTTCATTTGAAAAATATTAATAATATTGATTTTTTTAATCTTTTAAATTCAAACGATCTCTTTCAAAACTTTCCCCTAATATTAAGTACCTACTAATCATGGCTTCCATGGGCAAGAAATTATTTGAACAACTCAAAAGTAAAGAATTCCGTACTTATTTAATGAGGTAAAATTAAATTGAATCGTTTAAACATTTTATTAAATACAGGTGTTACTTGGCTTTCACCTGAATCACTGCTTAACGGCATTTCCAGGTGATGGGTGTATTGCCGATTCTTTGGGGAAAAAAAAAAAGGTGTTACTTGCCTATAACAATAATTAATTTACGTTTTCTGTTAGTACTCACTTTTGGGGTCCAATAGCTAATTGGGGTATACCTATAGCTGCATTATCAGACATTCAGAAAGATCCGGAATTAATAAGTGGCAAAATGACTGGAGGTAATATATTGATTTTGATTTTAATCTTGTGTTAAATTTGTAATAATTATATTTTATATTATATGTTAAATGTTTTTTTAGCCTTGTGTTTATATTCAATAGCATTCATGAGGTTTGCATGGAAAGTTAAACCACGAAATATGCTTTTATTTGCATGCCATGCCACAAACGAAGTTGCTCAAGTGATCCAATTTTCAAGATTTGTAACTTATAATTATTTATCTAAAAAAGAATGAAATATTATAAATATTCCAATTTTTTTTTTATTATTTCCGTATACGATACTTGATTTTTTGTTTCAAAATCAAAATTACATTGTGATAGACCTACTGTTACATACATTTTTAGAAATGCTTATTTAATATTACACTTCTTTGTTATTATTGTAAACAAATGTTAACAATAAAATTTACCAATTCGTTACATAATTTATTTTATATTATTTGCATATTTTGTAATTAATTAGTGTTCCAATTTAGAAAATTACTTAGCTGTAATAAGGATAATGATAATATGGTGACAACTTAAATTAATTATCATTATCATGATAATTTATCAAAACAATGTTATTAGATACATGACAGTAGTTATTTCTTATTTATATTTATATTTATTATGTCCATTTAATTTCCTTGTTTAGGTTATAGGTTATCATTTTTTTATTACTAGTTATTGTATAATTCTAAATATTTGAGTAAATTAATACAATTTTGTAAATTGTTTTTATCTATCTGTCATTCAATTTATTTATATTTAATTTACCTAATTGAAGCATAATTATAATGTCAACTTGTCAGTAATTGACTACTAATTGAGATTAATAAATTTTTTAATCATGATATCTCAGACTTAATCATTAACGACTAGTATTTTATATTATAAAGCATTAATTCCTAGTATTTCTAAAGATTGAATGTGTTAAAAACCATGGTTTGAAAAAAAAATTTAAGCTAATTTTTTTAGCCTTTTAATAAATTAACAAAATCAAAATTTTAGTAGGTAATATTTAGAGTAATAAAATTAAGTTATCTCTATTACATTATTGCTTATTATGGATGGTTAATATATACATTTTTATTTGCGCTTCCATTATTATTATTATTATTATATCATTACATTATTATTAATTATTATCACCATATTATGTTAATTTCTTTTTTTAATAAAATAATATCCCCATGAGTACAAAGAAATATACTGTATATGATAGTAGAATATCATGTGAATATTATGTCTCGATATAATTGATGACCACCTATTTGTATTTATTAATATTATAAATTACAAAAATTATTATTTTATTATGTACCATCTATCATCTGTGATAATTTGTAGGTAATATAAAATCCAGTATTTATAGATGCATAGTATTATAAATGCATAACTAATATATAGAATAAAATATATCATTATCTAACTACATTTATTATGCAATGTGTAATCGATAGTTGGAAACACTTTGTAACTCTGCACATATTAAATATATTTGAATTATGTTTTTATGAATGCCTAACAAACTTTGTCATACACTTATTACACTAATTAAACTAATTTTAAGCCATTTAATTTTGCGAATGTGCATAACAATTTTTTTTTTAAATGACAACACCCCCCTTTTTTCTGGTAATTATTTTGACAGATATTTTTTTATAAATTTTAATGGAGAAACCAACTTCTTAAGTTAAAAATTAGCTGAGTTATGAATTTTTAATGTTTGATATTAGTTGAAATAGTTGCATCACGTCAAGGTGATGCTGAACGTAGGATTACGTTTATTTCTTGACTGATTACTGAATTAGAAAACAGTCCCATAATTTTAAATTACAAATTGTGGGCAGATGAGTCTAAATTCACTAACAATGGGGATTATAAATAAACAAAATATACGTTATTGATACAGTCACAATCCCCATTGGGTTATTGTTATCGTTTTTGGCGATAATTTTATGTCAAAATTGTTTACTGTTAACAAAAATGTTCCCTTCTATAAGTTTGACAGTTAATTAAATTTGAATAAAAATAATTTTTGTTTTAATTTTTAATTGATACCTACATTTTATGTTATGTCATTGTGGTATAAAATTTATAGAACTTAAGATGACTTCTCATGTATTAAGCAATAGAAAAAAATAAATGGGATTTGTATGCAAATTGTAAGTATATGCAAAATATTTTCACCACCCCCCTTTGTGGCTTCTCAAAAACCGCCACTGGCAAAAAAAAAAAAACGAATACAAAATTAATAAAGAAATATGACGTACCTAATGGCAATACAAGGTGAAGAAAAATTAATTATACCTATAACTGCAGAAGATTACCAAGAAGGTAATTGTGTAAAATTATGCTTATAATGAAGAAATATTTAAAATTTTATATGAAACACATTAATCTATTGTGCACGATGGTAGAAATCGTATGGAATTTGAGATGAATAAAAAGTATAAAAATACTACTAGAGAGACAATAATGTTATATTTAAATATTCGTTAGTCATGTTAGAAAAAAAGAAATACAGTGAAAAAAGGATTGGTGGTTAAACCAATTATTTCTTCGGAAATGAATTCGAGGTTTCAAATTGACCTAATTGATATGCAAACACAAACAAATGGAGATTACAATTTTATATATCTACCAAGATCATTTGACAAAATTTTTAATATTTATACCTTTAAAATATAAAAGTGCCGAAGCAATTTCTAATGTACTATTAGATACATATACCATTTTTGCGGCACCCGCTATTCTCCAAAGTGACATCAGACGTGAATTTGTAAAAAAAATAATCTCTGAATTTGTGGAAAGATTTGAAAAAACTTCATGGTAAGTCGAAGCACTCTCAAAGCCAATTTTCAGTTCACAAAAATCGTGCTTATCATCATGATGCAATGAATGCATGTTTGGTACTCCATCTAAAATTGATTTAACATAGATATTACAATATTGTTGACAATAGGTATTTTTTATAAACACGATTGAAAAATTAAGAATCGAAGAACTACAAGCTGTATTAGAGTTTACACAAATTCTTTCTAACGACAATAAAAATAATGAAATACTTATTTCAAGAAGAAATAAGAAGAATATGATGAAAAAATAAGAAGAATATGATGAAGATCAAATAATTGAAAAAAGAAAAAAAGAAAAATATGGATAAACCAAAACCGATAAGAGTGGTTAAATAACCTAAAATTCCAAGTAAAAAAAATGATGGAAATGTTCGAAAAACCATTTTGCTTAGGAAATATTGGAGATTCAGTAAAAGTCAAAATTCTAAATGTGGATAGAGCACGGCATGACCTCCGAAATGTTCTTGGCGTTATAATATCAAGTAATCATTTCATAATTTATCAATAAACTAATTTTATATAAACTATGAACATTAAAAAATATATTTCAGTAAATGATAACTTCTATGAAATCGGAACGACTTCAGGAAAACTGCAACAATTATGCAGCAGAAACCAATTTACAATTTGTACATATTAATGATGTACCGGATAATTTAATTTCACTACGAGAAGTATGCCGTGCCTCTTTTAATTTAAGAGGACAGGGATATGATTGGTGCAATTGTACACAGCTTTGAAAGACCAATAAATGCAAGTGTAAAAAAGGAAACAGAATTTGTAATTCTAAATACTAAAATTCTTAATTAACTAACTCTGTGAAAATAAATAAGAAATAATTCTAAAATGGAACAACATCAATATAAATTAATTTTTCTTCAATACAAACTTAAAAATAATTAACAGTTCATTACTGGGGAGTAACCAAGGGAGAGGGTTCGGTTTTGGATCCCCCATTGAAATTTTTACATACTTACTCAATGGTTTAATAGTAAATAGTATATAGCAGGGGTAGCGAACCCATGGTACGCATGCCAAAAATGGCACATTGACCAAATTCTGATGGAACGCGCAAAAAATTGAAATTATACAAAATTAAAAAATTTTACAAAAATATTTTTTTACTATTTTTAAAATGTTGGTTGTAACTAATTCAAATAAACAAATTATATATGTTTTAAAAATAACCATATTCCTTATGCTTTCATATTTTTGTCAACCTATGTTGGTAAAAGCTAATTCACTATAAAAAATGTAGGTAATTAAATCGAAGGAAAGAAAGGTTTTGACTAACAAAACAATTGCTGCTCGTGTTTCACTAAGAATAACTAAAATTCAATAAAAATAATGTAATAAATCTGTAATTTTGTTTATAGTCTTAGAAAATATAATTTTCTTTGGGCACGTAAACGATTTTCAAAACCGGAAAAGAAAAATTTGGTATTTGAACCTAAAAAGGTTCGCCACCCTTGGTATATAGTGTATTTTAATTTCCCAATATTTTCAATATACAAAGATTACAGATTTTATAATATACCTATAATGTATACAGTGGCATAGCCAAGATTTAATTTCGGGGAGGGGGGGGGGCTGATTAATTTCTTCAAGACTTTTGTAGCGACTGTTATGGATCATTAAAATAATTTTTAAATTTTCTTAATATTTCTAATATTTCGGAGGGGGGGGCTACAGCCTACCTATTATTTATTATTATTAATTAAATAATGTATTTTTTTATAATATTTTACTACCAAATAAAAATCTATTTAAAATTATAGTACCTACCTGTTATAGTAAACCTTTGTGCAGAATATGTATGATGTGTAAATAACTATTGTGTGACTATTACTATAGTTATTAACAGTAATTTGTTGGTATTGAATTAAACTATAATTATAATTCGAGAACAGATAAGTTGCGTAATAGATAAAATAAAAATTTTGGACCCCCTCCTAAAAAATTCCAGGGTACGCCCCTGGTTAATTACTTACAACTCATGTTCCTGTTGCTCATTCGAGTGAATAAATAAAAATACAAGTGCCAAATTGAATTAAATATTTATTTAATAAATACATTAAAAACCTACTGCATATAAAATAAGTATTAATAATAACAACATAAATAGTTATTATATTAAAATTGTGTCTTCAGTCTGAATTCTGTATAAAAAACAACAAATAATCATAGTAGTAATAGTACCTATTAATTATTTTTTAAAAACTTTAAAAAACAATTAAGATAGGTAACTTAATTTAAAAAATATCTAAGTAGAAAACATAAGGTTGGTAAGTAGTCAAATAACAAATTCCAAAATTCTTTTTTTAAATTTGGCAAATTTGTTGATTGTTTCATCAATGGATACAATAATATTTTTAAAGCTAAACCTGTTAGTTTATGCTAGTCTATTTTTGATCTTAACCATGTTTTCAATT